TTAAATTAAATTTATATAAATTAAAGTTATATCTTATAAATTTATATATTTAAAATATAAGTTCTTTTTTACTAGTAAATTTTAATTATAAATTTTTTTAATTTAAAGCTTTTTAATAATATAATTAACTTTATATATATTAATTATTTTAAATAACTATAAAGCTATATAATTCATATATTTATTTTTTATATTAAACTTAAAAAACTTTTTAATTAATAAAAAAAACTTTATTTACTATTATTTTTACTTTTTAAGCTAGCTTTAGCTTTTTATTAGCTAAAGTAAACTTTATATAATAATATTAAGCTATTAAAATATAAATATATATATTAAATACCCTAGATAGCTATAAAGCTATATAACTAGTACATCTTCTTCTTATATTAGGCCTGGAAAACCCTTTAATAGAAAGAAAAACCCTGCCTGCTTCTGTTTTCGCTCTCTAGGGCGGCTCCAGCTCTATGCCAGCCAGAATCCGCCCGCCTTCTGTGCGTGCATAAGTGTCGCCAGCTTCGCCGGCTGTGTTCCAGAGGGGCTAATAACTCCTAAAAATCAAGCCTGCCTCCAGCTCTACGCTGGGGCTGTACCGCTCCTGCCTATTCTCCTGCTATATTCTCTAGGCTACTGCTACTAGCTTAGAGCCGGACGGGCTCTAAACTTATAATATAGCTTTTAAAACTTTAAAAAAAGTATTTTTATATATTTTACTATATAAAAAAAGTAAATATTATTTTTAGATATTTTTAGATATTTTATTAAATTAATTATTTATATTTATATTTTCTTAGTATTTATTAGTAAAAAATTTCTAACTTTAAAAAATAAATTAAAATACTTATAAGCTATTAAAATACCTTATAATTTAATTGAAATTAATTTAGCTATTATAATTTATAAATATTATAAAAGTTTATTATATAATATTATATTTATAATTATATAAATTTTTAAAAAAGTAGTATTTATAGTATAAAACTCTATCGAAAGTAGGGGGCTAGCGATCTTGTGGGGCGGGACGTTAACAGACATATTTTTTAGGTTGCTAAACAGGCCCGTCACCTGACATTAATCACGTTGTTACCGTTCGTTCATCTATAGTTCACCCTGCTGCCTTTTTGTAATTTTCACTGTACTTGTTCCAATAAGCTGAGTCACGGTGCCGACAAGGACGTTGCTGTGCACGGGAGTCAAGTAGCCCAACACTGAGCGGAGATGCCAGCGGGCATGTGGCCGTACGCGAGCAACGTCTTAATCCATCTTCTTCGATGTTTGTAACACTTGGGTCTCGTGACAAGGCAGTGCAGGTCATTCAATTTTAAGAGAAACAATGCACACGTAATCTGCAGTTCATCTGCTCCGCAGAATATTGATAGTAGAGCATGAACATCGCAGAACCAGGCACGTATTGTCTAGAAGACGCGGCCTTGTGCGTTAGTCTCTAAAGCCATGATCATGGTATTAGTACAAATGCCGCCTTTTGTCTCACCTCTAGGCACTCTTCACAATCTTGTCGTCATCCAGTTCTATGTCTACAATTCCGTCGACCTTGATTGCCTTGACCACCATGCCCTTGAAGTCAATCGGTAACCGTCGCTTCAACTCATCCTTGCACATGGTCAGAAGCTTGATACCCTGTCCGAGAGTAATTTCAGGGTGGTGATGCTTGTCCAAGATAGACAGGCAGTAGTATCTTGGTAGAGATAAACGTTAGTAAGTAGTGGATACTTCTTAGCCAGATACTAAGAATAGCTCCTCGTTAACGAATACATACTGTGCGTAACCATGGGCGGCATAGGGGACCTCGGCTAGGGACGCCAAATAATCCAACCAATATAAGTGAGGTTTTCCGGTAATTGGATTGACTCCTCCCATCAGCAGGTTGACGTTGTAAGGATGCCGCGATCGCAAGCTCGTAGCTAGCTCTCCGCGTACAAAGTGTGCGAGCCCTGAGGGAGACAAGTCGGTCTCGTTTCGCATCGAATAAAGCTGGGCATTCCTTTGGATGTACTCGGCAAATTGCACTGCGAATTTTGTCAATAATCAGCTTTTGTTTGTTCATCATACGCCAGGCCCCGGGCACGCCCGGGAAAGAGCTCTATCCCCCGTACCTGTATCTCCAGCCTCTCCTGAGAATGCCATGAGGGTGTGTTTGTTCAGCGCTCTTGTCTTGTCGTCGTCCGCTTTGAGGATCGTTGCGCCACGCATCGCCGCCTTGGAAGCGGCGATGATGGTAAAGTCCTTGCCAGTGATACCCAACAGAACCTCCCTAGACCAGGTTGTTAGAGACGCAGTCCCGAAAGGCAACCCAGGCAGATGATACCTACATGATGTCACTATCTCTGTTTCCGGTGGTGAGTGGTTGGAGTGGGGAGGAGGTCTAGTGATGAGTGAATGGAGGTTGGATGAAGCTTGCTGAGAAGCAACCACGAGCTCACGCCTCGAGATGTCCCATTGACCCGCCAGGCTGTAGCGATGCGCGTCAGTAAGTTGCTGGATACCGCCCATTTATTTGTGCCAAGTCCCACCGCCCAGTGCCCGGAGACACTATTCGCCGTACGCTGCGCATGATTGGCCACAGTGCATTCTATAGTGGGCCTCCTATTTCCACCTAGAACTTTTTTTTTTTTTTTCTAAATCATGGACGAGGGCGGGACAGCAAGTCGGATCGTTCGAACTGATCAAGCGAGCGACAATGTCGTCTTTTTTCACCATTCCCGGGTCGCAAAAAAAGCGGAAGCGACCTGCTGCCCCAGAGGCGCCAAAGAAAAGAATTTCTGGTTCAAAACAATCTTCTGTCAAGTCCTCCGCCAGAACTGGTGCTACGAATTCCAAACGGGGAACCGGAAAAGAACCAATCTCTGATGATGACTCGGCCGACGACGAAAGTTACAGCAGCACCTCAAATGCAGGTGAAGATGAGGATAAAGAGGACCTTCAGAGCTCAGACGATGAGGGCGAAACCGCCGCAGAGAAGAGACTTCGCCTCGCTGAGCGCTATCTGGAGAATATCAAGGAGCACGTGGATGACGCTGGGTTTGACGCTGCGGACATTGACCGAGATCTGATTGCCGAACGGCTTCAGGAAGATGTTGCCGAGACCAAGGGAAGAGTCTATCGCCAATTATCCTCGCAATTGGCATTTCAGAGAGCGTCACAAACCTTTTTTCGCACTAATACCAACTCCGTCACATCCATCGCCACATGCGCGCCTTTTGTGTACACTACGACAAAGGATATCGTTTTACACAAATGGAGGACGCAAGATCTTCCCCAATATCAGTTTCCCCAGACGACAAAACGAAAGCCCACGAAACCGACGGCGCCACCGAGAAAACGACCACAATTGGTGGCATGGATCAAGGGCAACAAGAGCAAAAGCAAGGACAAAAATTACAAGAGACACACGGCTCAGATATTAGCAGTGGCAGCCTCTCCTGACGGAAAATACGTTGTAACGGGTGGCGAGGACAACAAGTTAATAGTGTATGAAGCGGACACGCTGAAGCCGATCAAGGTTCTCACACATCACAGAGACGCTATCACAGGATTGGCATTTCGACGCGGTACTAATCAGCTGTATTCGTCATCGAGGGATCGAACCGTCAAAGTATGGAGTCTGGACGAATTAGCCTACATTGAGACACTCTTTGGGCATCAGGACCATGTTGTCGACATCGACGCCCTTGCCCTGGAGCGCTGCGTCTCCGTCGGGGCGAGAGATAGAACGGCCCGTTTATGGAAAGTCATGGAGGAGACACAACTCGTTTTTCGTGGCGGAGCAGTCGACAAGAAGAATGTCCCCCAAGACATTGACCCGCGGTCGCTACTGCACGAAGGAAGCATGGATCGCATTGCCATGATTGACGATGACCTCTTTGTCACTGGAAGCGACAACGGCGCCATTGCACTCTGGAGCGTCACCAAGAAGAAGCCCGTTTACATACAATCTCTTGCACACGGTTTAGATCCCGCTATAGACGCTGTCGATGCCTCGGCGGAAGTGAATCCTGACCCGAAAAGGGTGGTTCCCGCACCCACGCCACGTTGGATCACAGCCCTCAAGACAGTTCCCTATTCGGACCTCATCCTTAGTGGCAGCTGGGACGGACATGTCCGTGTATGGAGGCTTACCGAGGACAAGAGGAAAATTGAGCAGATCGGCGTACTTGGTGACTTTGCCGACGACTACGACAATGAGTCTGTCAAGGCCGCTCCTAACTTGCATGGCACTGCAGAGTCGCGCCGGCCTATACCTGGACTTATTAACGACATTGCGGTTTTTGAACGGGGCGAGCGTGGCAAAGATGGGTTATGTGTGGTTGCTGCGGTAGCACAGGAACATCGTTTTGGGAGGTGGAAGGTGTTGAAGGGCGGTGTCCGCAACGGCGGTGTCGTGTTTGAAATATCGCGGGTCCCTGCATCGCAAACGAACGGGGATCATGAGAGTTCGCCGTCTGACGACGACGAGAGTGATTCATAGCGTGGAGCATGGTACATAGACCTCATAGTCCGGCGTCCGGCATCTAGGCATTTTTTGTTCTCAAAAAAGGAGCAGTAGGTATGACTCTGCGGGTTGCAGTTTTGTTATTGCATCCGTCACGTTCCACGATCCAGACTATAAGGCAAATAGAGGCAAGATTGAGAGGGGATCAGATCAATCCATTGCCTAGACTTGTTTCATGTCAGATATGTTTATTTTGGAAATGGAACTCTCCGCTACAATCGCATCAAGGTTTGCTTGCAGTGTAGCGGGTGTCCATGAGAGAGCATGGCACTGGTTTTTCAGGAATTGGAAACGGATCTTCTGCGCCATGTCGACGGTGAAAGGAGATTTGCGACAGACTCATATTGGTCGGAATGACTAATGAGAGAGGGTAATACACCGTTAGTAGCCATGCAGAAATAACAACTACTAGTGGGAAAAGGCCACCGTCGTGTATTGTGTAATTCCTTGTGTCGATTTATTTGCGCATTTTCCATCTCTAGCTAGAAGATGCTTGCCACGCCGCGCATTGCATCCAGAATCCAAACGCATGCGACTGGCGACCGGGGACGTAGTTACTAACTAGGTAACATACTTTATTACTACTGGTCGGCAGCGACCGCAACGTCATGCCAACTCCAACCAGTCGAACCTCCACCAGCCCGACCACATCCACATCCACATCACCACCACATCACCACCATCATCAGCTCCTCCTCCTCCTCCTCCCCCCCCCCTTTCCAGGCACATTATACATTTCACCACCGTCACCTCCTCCTCCAAGCCAGCTCCGACTCCCACGACCCGCCAGCCCTCGAAGCGCATGAGTCGCCGTCGCCCGTCCAACCCACATCCGCCATGATGTCCTCTACCAACGAGGAGGACCCCTTCCTCCACGTCCAGCAGTAAGCCCACCACTCTACCTCTACGTCCAACCGTCCAAAACACCCCGGGGAACCCAAGAGCTCACCCGCCAACGCCAGAGACGTCCTCGCCCAGATCCAATCCACCCGGCCCCTCTTCGCCTCGTACCTGCGCATCCGCTCCCTCACCACCACCCCGTCCTCCCCGGAACTCGCCTCCGCCCGGAAGGACCTCGAAGCCGCCCTCTCCACGCTCGCCGAAGACCTCGCAGACCTCGTCGCCTCCGTCCAGGCCATCGAGTCCAACCCCTCCCAGTACGGCATCTCGTCCGCCGAAGTCTCCCGGCGCAAGCGTCTCGTCTCAGAAGTCGGCGGCGAAATCGAAGACATGCGCGAGGAGCTGCACAAGAAGATCGACCACCAGCCCCAGCCTCCCGGCCGCGAACACCTCCCGGACCCGGACTCCTTCGCCGTCGGCGACAGCCAAGGCGATGCGTACGCCGAGTTCGAGCAGCAGCGGCAGATGGAGATGATGCGCGAGCAGGACCAGCACCTGGACGAGGTGTTCCAGACGGTGGGGAGCTTGAGGCGCCAGGCCGACGACATGGGCAGGGAGCTAGAGGAGCAGCGGGAGCTGCTGGAGGTGGTGGACAGCACCGTCGACCGGGTCAGCGGGACGCTGCAGGTCGGCATGCGCAAGCTGCAGCACGTCGTGAGGAAGGGCGAGGACCGGTGGAGCAGTTGCTGCATTGCCGTCTTGATATTCGTCTTGATCCTGCTCCTGGTTCTCTTGTTGATCTTGTAGAATGTCACGGTGGGGCGAGGCACGGCAAGAATGAGCGACTCTTCTTTTACGTCTTTACACTGCTTCACCGCGCCCTTTTGTTTTTGTAAAACGCGCGAGGGGCAGACAACATGGCTTGGCTGCAGTGGGTTTCCTGGTCGGAATTTGGTGTCACTGAGCATCAACGTACATGGCGCTAGAACGCGTCTCATCTTGCCGTCAAGTTCCTCGTGTCCCGCTCGTTACTCGTCTAAAATCTTGACAACGCCGCCATATGCAATCGCTTGATCCCTTGCCTTCTATCTGCCCGTCTCCTGGCTCTCAATGTAACTTCCACCCGCGGCAATCGCAGCCTATGCCAACACCAATCCACTATCCGAGCGACGAATATCCGCCAACGCACGCAAAGAGGCCGCCGCAGACGAATTCGCAGGCGCTCGCTCGGGAAACTCCAACAGCGCTAATCGCAACGCTGCCATGGCAGCGTTCCCGTAAAAGTTGAGGAATCGTTGCTCGTGGCCGTCAATCATGGACCGCAGAACGACGAGCTGCGTATTGGAAATCTCGGCAGCCGGGGAGTTGACGATGCTCGCAAACGCCTTCCAGTAGTGGGTTGGTGGATAGGGGTTGCTTTTGGAAGCCTTGCTAAAGTCGCGGAGAGAAATCGACGCAAAACCAGCACCTAGGCCCGCCATTCTATCGTTGTGATTTTGCTCTTGGATCCATGACGGGCCATCTCTTTTCCATCCGAGGGCCTGTCTACCTCTTTCCGTCTTGTCGCTCCCTCTGGATCCGAAAAGTACGGGGCACACAACTCTGAATTTGGCCATGAGTATGTCAATCAAGGACTGACCTCGCCATGAAAAGTCCTTGTGGGAGAAAACTTGGGCGGTGAATACGCCAATGGGATCGGCGGCTTTGGGATTTGCCCCGCATTCATTGATGAACTGGCTAATGATGCCCTTGGCGGAGATGTTCATGAGGTAGATGAATAGTGAGGGCAGTTCTGCGCCGTTGTTTGGGACGTCCTGCGTTGACGGCTCTCGCTGGACAGCGACAAATTGACTGACATCTACGAGGGGGGTGGGCAGTTGACCGTCTAACGACTGCCTCAAAAGAGACATAATTTTTGTTGTCTATGAATGGTCAGCCGAGAGGATCCTTCATACTGTAACCAGGTCTGATTACTTACGGGTTGGACGTTGGCTCCCTTTCCGCCAGTCAGTTGACCAATGGACACCCGAATTTCTCGGCGAATGGTTCCAATTTTCCCTTTGAGTGGTGATCCAGCCACTTTTGATGCTGCCACAATCTCCCTTCTAAGCTTTTTAAGAGCCTGGTGAATTTCAATATATCGATCCGACAGCGGGTCCACAGTCGGCTTCAGTAGTTGTGGTTTCTGAATAGGTGCAACAGGCTGTTGAGATTGCGACGCTTTTGCTCCCTTCTGGAGTTCTTTGTTCTGGCTCAAGATAGAGGGTCGTTGGGTTTGGCTTTGTTGGCCCGCAACTGCGAAAGCATGGCTCGATGCTGTATTGCCTAAATTCGAGAACCCATTCTGGAGCGGTGCTGGGACTGGAGAGTGGGCTTTTGCTTGAGCTTGTGCCAGCGGTTCTGATCTCTGAAGAAGTTGAGGCGCCACTGATATTGGTTTCTCTTCGTCGGCCGTCTTACCCATCGGTTTGGCTGGTTCTGGCTCTGGCTTCGGCGGCGGCGGCGGCGGCTTGATAGATTTTGCTTTAAGTTCCTGCAATCTCTTCTCTTCTAATGCAATGGCAGCCTCTGTCTTTAGTCTCTCTTGCTCCCTACGCCCCTCTTCCAGTATCCGACTGTGCTCTTCCTTGAGCTCGTGCAGTTCGTATACTCTAATGGCGGCTTGTCTGACCCGATCGTGCTCGGCTTGGGCGGCTGCGAGGGCATCGCGATGGCTTGATTCGTTATTTCTGCCATCTAGGAGAAAATTGGACAGACACGACCGGTCGGGACTTGATAGCACTTGACTCCTCAGCGGAGAGGAGTTTGCCATTGCGGTTATGAAATTTCGGAAAAGGTTGAGGCGCGTGCTATCGTTGGGGCATTTGAGAGACAAGTACCATTCGGGAATGAACGAGTTCAATTACACCAAGGGGGGGAAGCTCGGATCGCCAGTCGTCATATGGGCAGAGGTTGCACATAAGTTGGTTGATGCCGTATCTATTGACGCATGTATACCGAAGTACGCAGGTCTGAATGAAATCTTAAACTCGACGGTGGAGGACTCGCGATAAGACGGCGCCTACGGTGTTGGTATCAGTGTACAAACTGTATGCGCATTCATTGCTCATCCACGGCCCGCTAAAATAAAATCCCGGAGGGTTGTTGTGGGTCTTTTTGTGATTACGTGTGCTACGTAACATGTACGGAGTACATAGGTTGTAGTTCTGTACCACCTTCTTCAAGAACTTCCTTGCTGCTTACTTCATTAGGGTAGGCCGACAACAACGACCGCACTGGAAGAAGCGAGGAACCGTGGATATCGATGGGCGGCATTATCAGCAGGGATTGGTCAATCAGCAGGCATCATACTCCATGCATGGCATGAATGCGTCAGTTCAGTCCAAGGCAGAATTCCAGTCGATGCCTCTGGTATTCCTTTTCGCCGTTGCACCAGTTGACCAACGTTGAAACTTCGAGATGACCTTCAGCCGATGCAGCATGCTTGTGGTGGATAGCCGCCAAGTTTATGCAACGGACAGGGCCCCACAACCCGAAACATTGGAGGAGAGTCATGTACTGGAACAAAATGCGATGCTGTGACACCAAAGTCCTATGTATACGACTTGGACTGTTTCGCGTTGTGCCTCTCGCAGAGAGAGAGAGAGAGAGAGAGAGAGAGCTGGTGTGGCCGAGTTGAGAAAGCCAGCGTCAGGGGTGAGTGTGGCCCAGTCGCGGTTGATGATATCCACAGATCCTGCAACCCGTATACCGTGCTCCGATACTGCCAACTACCTCAAGTACTCGAGGTAGGTAGCTGCCTGGCTAGCAAGCAGTTGGATGATGTCGAGAACTGGAGAGGGAGTCGCCCCGCTGTCTCATTCCATCGACGCTTCTATCGGGTCGGGTCGTTCTAGAAACGTGCGAAGGTGAGCCACTCATTCTGAAGTACGAAAATGCAGCAATATTTTCAAGCCATGATACATCAGATTTTTCCGCTTGTGCTGCTTGGACTGAGAACAAAACAAATAACTATACCCTGGCAAAAAGCGGAGGATGTGTTAGTACTTATTGGTGGGGGCACAGCCGACGTACGGAGTACGTACCTAGTGATTGTGCCGCCTCGTGGCAAGACGGGGCATAGCTAGAGTTATCCATGGGTTTCTTCTATTCCGCGCCGGGAGAACAGGAAGCCAGAGTCGTGCAAACGTGGACAATAGACGGGGAGCATTGGACGCTCGACTTGACACGAGGCTTGGAACGTTGGAGCCATTATTGCGTGTTTCTTTGCCGGACGGGGCTGGCGTTGGGTGTTACCCCGAACAAAGAATAATCATAGTACAGTAAACCATGTCTATAACGATCCTGTGTTATAGCGAAATTCGGGTTTTTACGATAATTCACAGTTATCTAAGGTTTTTCCCTAGTAAATCGTTAATAGTCGTGTTACTAACAATATCGTTGACTTTTTGCTTAGTTACTATACATTTTATCGTTATAAGGCCCCACTTTTATTGGCTTAATTCCTTATAGTGGGGCGGGATTCCCTTATAGTGGGGCTGAATTTCCTTATAGCAGGGCGGAATTTCGCAAATATGTACTTTATGCTAGTAATTTCTAGGGGAAGGTACAAGCCCCATAATAGTCGCATCTTAACGATAGTCGCTATATGACGATGAAAAAAGCCTCACGAAGGATATCGTTATAGACATGGTTTACTGTACGTACATAACAACAACCACATCGACTTCCGAAGCACCCAGGTACCCATGGTGCCGAGTTGGAACCAAAACACGAAGTACGTAGTACGGAGTACCAGTAGTAAACAAACTACCCTTTACAGAGCGGAGCCTGCCGACTCGAGTGGTTCAACGGCACAAAGCGTCGCTGCATCACGGCGTGCTGGGGTCCCCGAGCAGGGGTTAGCCGTCTAGAATTAGAATTGCAACGGAGCGAGCAGTTGTAACTTGTCGTCACCGTCATGGAGGCCAATTGCAACTGCTTGCCGCAGATAGAATGGCGGCTCGACGGCGTGAAGGCGTGAAGGCGTGAGGGCGTGAGGGCGTGAGGGGCGTGACGGCACGAGGAGGACGCCTTGAGCCCAGCCTGATGAATTGCCGGGTCAAATGCCCACTCAGAAGGGGTGTTGGGCAAGGTTTTTGGTGGCGTCCAACGAGCGACATTGGACGTGCTTGACGGTCAGTCCAGTCGGCTTTGATGACTCCGCAAATGCCAGGTACTTGTGTCTGATGCTCGAGTTAGTAGGAATCGTCGACACGCCATGTCCGGAGTCTCCCCGTCGGTACTTGAGGACTAACTTCTGTCAAGTATAGGTCAACCCGTTTGACTTGACAGCTTCTCGACAGACAGAACCTTGAGCTTGAAGCGGACGCAGAGTCACTGGGTGCCACCAGAAACTTGACGGCGCCACAGCTACCATCGTCAAATGGCCATGGCGCTTCAAGGGGTCCACTGGTGCCTCGCTCGGGACCTCGAGTCCATCAAGCATGCATCTTCAATCTTGATACTCCGTACTGCGTCTGCCAAGTTGGAGGCGAGCACCGCCTGATTTTGCCGCCGCCTGATTTTGCCGAGGGCCAGCGAATGGATGCCGTGCTCGAGGGCGGGCAGACAGACCGCAACCATACTAGACTGCGTCTTGTCGCCCAAGTTGAACTGGGAACACTTGGCCGCACACTTGCTTGCCCCAGCCGTCCGCCCGTCCTCAAACGACTCGCCAGTCCAGCAGTCCCCGGTCCCCGGCCCAGTCAAGCCATTTGAGTCCACTGGGGACTGGGGCCGCGCAGCCCGCCGACTAGTACGGAGTACCGAGAAGTAGCTACTGGGTATTACCACTAGGTATTACTACTGGGTACTCCGTACTCCGTCCGTACCAAGTGCTTACTTGGTGGGTGGACTGAGTTCTGGTCCCAGAAAACTGCCATCACGTCCAACTCGGCTCGGCCCTGCTCTTCGCCTCCTCACCACCATCCCCATCCTCATCTCGCTCACAGTCTCGCTGGAGCTGTGCTTGCCCCCCTCTCCATTCCATCCATATCATCTCTGCCTTCTTTTCCGCACCTTCATCATCATCACCGCATTGCACAAATCCCTCCTTTGCACGCTCCTTGGCTCTGAGTTCGCTTTCTGCAATCCAGCCGCAGTCCTACCCTCCTTTTGGCAACTGCGTACATCCTCTTCGTACCAGCCTAAGCTTCGGGGCCTTGCTCGCTACTGTCTCTAAAGCCAGCTTTCAATCTACCATCCAACGCTTCAAATCATATTCTGCCGACCATCAATCATCATTACTTCAAGGCATTCCGATTCGTCCCGACCAGTCCCAAATTCCTCAAGCGAATTTAACCAATACAGCGTCCATCCAATTTTTTTTTTTTGCCACGCATTGCATTGCATTGCACTGCACTGCACTGCGTTGGCCGCACTCGACGTGCCTCCAGACCTCTCATCAAATCCGACTGTCTGCTGTTCGCCTCTGACTGTTCATCATGGAGCAGCAGCAGCAGCAGCAGCAGCCTCAGCAGCAGCAACAGCTGACTGGTGGTGTCCCTGGTCCAGCTGGGAGAAGACTGCACATTGCTCATCGGCGAAGCCCCTCGGAGCTGACCCCGTTGATGAGCATGTTTGCCAATCCTGGAAGTAAGTTGCTCCAAGTCCCCTCGAATCGAGACATGTTACCCCGGAGCATGTCATCAGTCATCGGCTGTGGACGCAAAGATATCACCGTCGCCAAGGCCAGGTGTTGTGTGTGTGTTTCACTTCACATGTCCTGGGCTTGTCTCGCGGTGGAGTGTGATTTGGACTGGTATCGCTTTTCAATGCAATGTTGCTCTGAACATCACTAACTTTCTCTCCCAACGTAGTGGAACAATTGGCGATTCAACAGATTGAACTGTTGCAGCAGCATCAGCAGATCCAGGCGACCCATCAACAGTATGTCAACATGGGAATGATACCTCCTGGCCAACCCCTAGGCCACAATGGCGCATTCAATCCCTTGCAACCCATGGGCAACGCTTTCCAGTTCCCCAACCAGATGGGGCAGCAGAGTTTGGCCCCTGCTAGCCAACCACATTCACATCGCCGTAATCAGTCGGCAATGCCTAATATGGGCATGGGTCCTCCGCCCGCGCCGTCTTCTGGTGCTTCCAGCTCCAGCTTTGGTAATTTTGAGGCCCCTCCGGTACACAACCGAGAGAACATCGGCGGTCGAGGGGGCAGAGGAGGCTCTGGCGGCGGCCATCAGCGACGACACTCCCTTGCCTTGGCTGATGCAAAGAAAGCTGCTGAGATCGCACAGCAGAAACGCACCACGAGCGGTTTCCAGTTTCCCGCTGCCCCCGCGCCTACTTCTGAAAAACCCGACGACGAGAATAAGCCGGTTACATCTAACCTGGACGCGTCGGTTGCACAAGGCTCTAACCGAGGTCGCGGGGGCCATGGCCGAAGCCAGAGCATGGCTGCCAACGGGCGCGGAGGCTCCGGTCTCCGCAGCAGTGCTTTCAACGTCGCTGGTGATGGCGATGGCCGACGTGGTGGCCACGCCCGCACCGGTTCGCGAAACTTCGAAGGCAATTGGCGTACTCCGGGCCAGAATCAGGACCAGGGCAATACCGGTCAAAGTTCTTCCTTTCAGCCTGGCCATAGACCTCGGGGGTCCATCAATCAGTCCGTGTCGTCAACTGGTGCCTTCCAGTACAATCCCAACCAACCCCAGCTGGTGCAGCTGCCTGGCCAAATGATGATGCCTCAGATGTACGGGCAACAGCTCAACCCGATCCAGTTGAGCCAGCTGCAGGCTCTACAGGCTGCCCAGATGAATGGCCAACAGTTCCAGGGCCTCCAGACTTCGCAGCACGTTGGCCAACTCGGCGGTCAGCAGCAGCAGCAACAACAACGAAAGACCCTCTTTACTCCATATCTTCCTCAGGCCTCGCTCCCTGCCCTTCTAGGGGATGGGCAGCTCGTCGCTGGTGTTCTCCGTGTAAACAAGAAGAACCGTAGCGATGCTTACGTGACCACGCAGGATGGCTTGCTGGATGCTGACATTTTCATCTGTGGCAGCAAAGATCGTAATCGTGCCCTGGAAGGCGACCTCGTCGCCGTTGAGCTTCTTGATGTTGACGAGGTTTGGTCTCAGAAGAAGGAAAAGGAAGAGAAGAAAAAGCGCAAGGATATCACGGATACTCGCTCCGGCTCCACCAACCAGGGTAGCAGAGACTCGGGCAATAACGAGGACAATAGTGCTGCTGAAGGGGGCATTCGACGACGCGGCAGTTTACGCCAACGACCCACACAAAAGAAGAACGACGATGTGGAGGTTGAAGGCCAGAGCCTGCTGCTCGTTGAGGAGGAAGAGATTAGCGACGAGCAGAAGCCACTCTATGCTGGCCATGTCGTCGCCGTGATTGAACGTGTTGCCGGGCAAATGTTCTCCGGCACCCTAGGACTGCTGCGTCCTAGTAGCCAGGCCACCAAGGAGAAGCAAGAAGCCGAACGGGCTGCCAGAGATGGTGGTAACAGTCGCCATAATGACTCACGGCAGCAGGAGAAGCCCAAGATTGTCTGGTTCAAGCCTACGGACAAGAGGGTGCCCCTCATTGCTATTCCTACGGAACAGGCGCCCCGAGATTTCGTCGAGAAGCATCAAGACTACGCCGATCGCATCTTTGTCGCTTGCATCAAGCGCTGGCCTATAACCTCACTACATCCATTTGGTACGCTGGTTGAGCAGCTTGGCCGCATGGGTGATCTCAAGGTGGAGACCGATGCCTTACTTCGTGACAATAACTTCTCCTCTGATGAGTTCTCTGATTCCGTTCTGCGTAGCGTCGGCCTCCAGGATTGGTCCGTGGCCAAGGAGGATGAGTCCGAAATCGCTGCTCGTCGCGACTACAGAGATGAAAAGGCATTCACTATCGATTTCAACGGCAGTGCTGAGCTGGGAAATGCCATTCATGTCAAGTCCCGCCCCGATAGCAAGATTGAGGTTGGCATTCACGTACCTGATGTCACTCATTTTGTCAAGCCCAACTCACTCGTCGATCGCGAGGCCAAGAAGCGTGGTACCTCTGTGCAGCTCATCAACCGTTGCTGCGCTCTTCTCCCCCCCAAGTTGTCTAGCGACGTCTGTTCCCTAGGACCTGATCAGGAACGCTTCACGATCTCTGTTGTGTTCAATGTGAACCCTAATAACGGATCAGTTGCCGAAGGAGACAGTTGGGTTGGCAAGAGCATCATCAAAAGCTCGGGAAAGCTCAGCCTGAAAGACATGGATCAGGCGCTGGAGAATGCCTCGGAGCTCAAGAATGAGGTCGTTCCCGTCAATACCATCCAGATTCTGCAGGCTGTCGCCCAGAAGTTCCGCGAGGCACGCCTTGGTGCGGGCGACGCACCGATTGCTCCTTTGCGGCTGTTCCAGCAGCTTGATGATGAGAACAACCCCGTCCAAGACAACATTTTTGACTCAACGCCAGCCCTGGAGCTTGTCGAGGAGCTCATGCACAAGGTCAACAGTTACGTTGCTCAGCGCCTTGCCGATGGATTGCCTGAAAAGGCGCTCCTTCGCCGCCAGGCTTCTCCCAACCCTCGCCGCCTGCAAACCTTTGTAGATCGCATGAATGCTCTGGGCTATGATATCGATGCATCTGGAAGCGGTGCGCTCCAGAACAGCCTTTTCAAGGTTGAAGACACTGATCTTCGCAAAGGCATGGAGACTGTGGTACTCAAAGCCATGCACCGTGCCAAATACTACATTGCGGGCAAGACCGCTAAGCAAATACGGCCGCACTACTCGCTGAACCTCCCACTCTATACTCACTTTACAAGCCCAGCTCGTCGTTATGCCGATATAATTGTTCATCGTCAGCTAGAGGCTGTTCTGTCGGATGGCAAGATTGAATTTGCCGACGACGTGGAAAGCCTGGCCAAGACAGTCGATTCATGCAACACCAAGAAGGAGTCTGCCCAGAACGCACAGGACCAGAGCATCCATATCGAGTCCTGCCGCACTATGGACAAGAAGCGACATGAGGCTAACGGAGACCTCATTTCGGAGGGTATCGTTCTGTGCGTATATGAGTCCGCTTTCGATGTTCTTATCCCCGAATGGGGTTTCGAGAAGCGTGTACACTGCGATCAGCTGCCATTGAAGAAGGCCGAGTTCAGAAAGGACAAGCGAGTTCTCGAGCTGTACTGGGAGAAGGGCGTGCCCAGCTCCGCCTACGTTCCCGAGGACGAACGCCCCAAGGCTGCCGCTTCTCAAAGAATGACCAATGCCATGGCTGCCGCCCGCCAAGCAGAGGAAGCTGAGAGAGTCAAGAAGGAGCGCGAGGAAGCGGCTCGAAAGCAGACGGTTACTGGCACCATCTCCACCGACGATGTTGATGCTCTGTTTGATGATGACGACGAAGACAACACTTCTGACGTGACTGAAGCCATGGCGGGAGCGTCTCTTGCCGAGCGTCCGACCCAGAGCGTTCCAGGATCCCCTGCTCGGGCTGCCTCGAAAGCCGGTACGCTCCATCGGACCCGTTCGGACTCGAAGGTTCCCGTTACCGACGCTGTCGAGACTCGGTTGACGAACAAGGAGAAGTACTTGAAGCTGTTCAAGCTGAGAGAAGAGGGCGGCGACTATATTCAGGATGTAACAGAAATGACTCGGGTGCCGATCATCCTGAAGACGGATCTCAGCAAGAGCCCGCCGTAAGTGACGAGACGGATGAAGAGAAAACCAGGCGCGAACAGCATGGCTAACATTATATGCTACAGATGCCTAACCATTCGATCACTGAACCCATTTGCCCTGTAATGGAGAGGAGGGAGCTGGACAAGTACAAGCCGGCCAAGGAAAGCACAGATTGCAGCGATGGACACACAATCAAGTATGGTGGGAGGAGGAAGAAGAGACGGGAGAGACGCAGCGCAAAAGAAGTGCGACGTAGTTCTTTTACGCTTTATGGAGGTGCCTCGTGTGGCTCATGATGTGTGTGTACATAATACCATACGAATAGTTGCATGCCGTTGAGCGGACAGGTAGCTTCTCAAAAAAGAAAAGACAAGTATAGTAGGGTGGCGACGAAAACTGAGGTAGCGGAAAAAGAGAAAGACATTTGCCGTTTGATATTTGACACTGACCTTACGCATGGCTTGGCCTAGTTTAGCAGGCGGCATCGAGGCTATGCTATTTTGACTTTTGGTGTGAAGATTCGGGAACAACGAGCGGTATCTCTTGGCTGACGCGCCGTGTCGGCGAGGGGTCATCCGTCACGGCCCGGTCAGTCACACCCACGAGATGAGAGATGAGCTGTATCTCTTTGCGCGCAGGTATTTGGGGACGTCGGGACTGAAGATGCGTCGGCATGGTCAAGGTTCGGTTTCGGTTTCGGTTTTGGACGAGGGCGAACCGGTAACATGAATGGATATAAGTTACGAACGGCTCTCACCTGTCTCGTCGCACGCCCACCGACCGACCTTCACTTCACCTTGGCTCCACCTTGGACCACCTGGGACGGACTGGACTTTGTCAACTTTGTCAACTGACCCTTTGACATCATCCTTCCCGTCCATCCGGCCAGACACCACAGATCGAGCATAGATACAGCTTCCATCGCAACAAGGCGTCTCTGTCCCTCGGCAACGGAAAGCCTTGCTCCGGCAGGGATACGCAAATGTCGTGTTCCGTCTGTCTCCAAAGCCCAAACAGCCGAAAAAGCACCATGACGCTGAACAACAGTGCTGTCCGTCCGGACTCGGGATTCTGGAGCCAAGGACGGCACATGCCCGTCGAAACAGCTGTCGCTTGATCTTTCCGACTACGCCAAGAGTTTGTGTGGCGGCCGGGCGGCCGGCATTTGTCAAGGCCCCGGTGGTGATCTCGTCAAGCGGCCTTTTGGTCTACGCACATCACGACGCCCACCAAGGACGAGTTTGTCTTCGTCTTCCCGTCGGACTCGTCTCGCCTGCTCAACCTGCTTCCCTTCTACACAGGACCAGGACCATGGACAGACATGACAAGCTTCTCAACCACCAGCTACCGGCACCTACGACCAAACCAAACATTGGACCTCCTTCCAGGTTCCCCACACGCATCAAAAAGAAGCCCGAATCTGCAGCGCACCGACCGGCCAACGACGCAACAACCACCCGCCAGACCCCTTGCAATCAACCAGCCCAACAAGCCCGACCAATGGCCAGGAGAAAAGAGGACGAAGGAGAGAAGAGAAGAGCAGAGAAAAGCACCAACCACGGAAAAGAGCCCCCCCCAAGCGCCCTCCTCCGGTCCCGCTCGCTGTCCGCGTTGGCCGCAATCTTCAAATTACACCAGCCAACAAAGGGCGAAAAACACGTCCGTCCCGTCCACAGACCACGCCCGCCGACGAACAGCCCTTCCATCCATGTGAGCCGTACGCCGTACGCCGTACGCCTCGCCTTTCCCTGCTCCCATTCCTCTCCTTCTCCCCCCCCCTCAAAGGACGGGAACTCGCGATGCCACCGTCCAAAGCCACCAGGAACCCAACGTCTCCCACTTCGTCATCATCCAACACGTACGTACCCGAGTAACATTCATTCCCAGCCCGCTTCCATCATGAACATCGCCAGGGAAATCGAGGTGCCGAACCCAACGTCCGCCAAGCTCCCAGCCCTGACCGTCAATCTTGGCGCCCTGACGACGACGTTCGCGCCCCCCAGGAACTGTGCATCCATGACCCTCGCAAACTACGCCCACCGCGTCGACCCGTCGGCGTCGCAAGTGACCACCCTCCTGGAGTATGATCGCGGGCTCGAATGCTCTCAGACAGACAGATTCACCCCCGCCGGAATGGAGCTGAAAACAACATGCTTCCCGGAGCGATGGGCGCCGGCCTTCAACAACATCAGAGAACCGGGCCCCAACGCCGTGTGGCCCGTCTACTCGCCGGGGCTCTTGTGTCCCTCGGGCTACGCAACCGAGTGCACAATGGTATACAGCCAGCCCGGGGCGCCCACCGAGACTCGGAAAGCCGTCGTCGAGCCCAACACCTTGACTCTGACGACATGGAGCGTCCTAGCAGCGGGGGAGGTAGGATACGGCTGCTGTCCCAGGTGCGTTGTGTGCAATCACCCCCCTCTCTTCTTTCCACATATATATATATATATATATAGACAAAAGGCCCCAAGGTTGGCTCACCAGTGAGTATACTTGAGCAGCGGCTTCCGGTGCTACGGGCCATACACATGCGTCTCCATTCCGTCGACATCGGAAACCCTGACCGTGGACATGTCCGAGGGCTGCAGGACCGCCGCCGACAGGATCCGAACAACCACCACCCAAGTCGTATCCAGCGACATCTTCGCCTTTGTCTATGCGCCGCAGGTGGTTCTCATCCAGAGACCCAACAGCACCAACGCCGACGTCAACGCCACTGCAGCGGCCACATCCAGCCCATCGGATACCCCGGGCGCCGCCGCCGCGCAGTCCGGCCTGAGCACCGCTGCAAAGGCGGCCGTTGGAGCCGCCGTGCCCCTCGTCGCCATCATCCTAGCCCTGGCCGTGTATGTGTTCTACCGCCGCCGCAACCGCATCAAGAACGAGGCCGAGGCGGCTGCTGCGGCTGCGGCCGCGGCCTCCGAGCAAGACGACGGCAGCCGTCCTCCAGGCATGGACAAGCCCGAGTTGGACGCGACACCCTCGCCCTTCGGGCTCTCGCTTAGCCCCGGAAGCGAGCTGGACGGCACGTCTCGCCCCTCGCCCGGAGCCGATTTCGACATAGCAGGGCGCCGCGTGTCTGAGCTGCCGGGGTCGGCGGCCGCAGGAGCCCTAGGAACCATGTGCGAGTTGCCGGGCGATGAGTTGTTTGCCCAGAGCTCGACGCAGCCAAGAGAGACGGAGACGGGCGGGCATGTCGCTGCGGATCAAGAGGGGGAAAGTGGGCGAGGCCTTTCCGCCCAGGGCCCATCGGCGCCAAGCGATCAAGATGCCGAGAACGAGGACGCGGAAAAGAGCAGCCTCCTCGACAATCGAGAGTAGCGGGTTTCCCTGTCAGCCGCGGCCGTACTGATGGGAGTTGTTTCCTCATATAATAAACCTGTATACCGGGAAAAGATCGCGCCGGAGTGTGGTATTTGGTATTTGCAAACACGCACGCACGCACATGACTTATGTATATCCAGTGTCGTACGTCTACCGGCCCGAAACGGGTACCATGTATTTATGCTGCTCTGCAGGGCGCTCAATTAGCCAGAGAAGCCTTTCCGTCAACGTGACAGGTTGCCTTACCTCGAGACATAGATTGTACTGCTACAACGCTCCGGACGGGAACCCTTCGCCCTCCCAACCACAGATTGCCTGTCACGCACGCCTTTCCCGAAAAGTATTTCTTTTGGTCTTTTAGGGCTAGCCTAGACATGGTATAATCGACTGCAGGCAGTCCTGTCAAACATTGCCCTGTCTTCCACGACGCATCTTTGCCCCCCTCCCCCTTCTCTCGTCCTGGTCCAAGCCCGTGTAGGCTTACGTATGTTGATTCCTGCACCAAGGCGTCGTACACGCTCTGTCATGCCGCCTGGCCGTGTTCCGACACTGCTCATCTTCCCCCGCGATAGGCCTCCCCTCCTTGTCACCGGGACGTCCTTGTCTGCACAATGCAAGTTCACCCATCCCGGCGAGAGGCTCTTGTTCCATTTCCTCACACTGTCACACAGCTCAGTGTTGCTGCCATGAGCTGCCGAGTAAATAAATATCTCAGGTACTTTTGTGTGTCCAGCGCACTGGACACAATATCCGGAAAACATAAAAGACTTGATGTTTCGCTGGTTGAATAAACCGTGACCGTAAAATTTATACGCCTTGCAGTAGCGGCGCTATTCCATGCCTCTAGCGGCGTGGGAAGTCGACAATGTGTGAAGTGGTAAAGACATCTCCATCAGAAAGGTCGAGCGTCCAGGTAGGCCTGAGCCTTGCTCCATGCCGTTCTGTCCTGCGCAGGCAGTTCGTCGGAGCCAAGAGTCTGCATACCTTGATTCAGAGCACTGATGAAATCCACGCAAATACGAAAGTCGTCTGTCAGGGCCTCGGCAAACGGCACAAAAGTCTTTGGGAACTCCTCCAGTCGTTCGTTTCGCCTTTCCTTGCTGTGCGCCATGTCATCTTCGTCAAAGAATGTCCGCACGGCAATGCCCAATCCAATGTCAGGTTCTTGCAGAAATGGGAGCCTGAGGGAAATGCGGGTCAGTAACTGTATAGACTGGACAATCTTGGAGGGAGGGGTGGTGTGTCTGTCCAACCTTTGGCTTATCTCTAGGTAGTCTTCTCTGTCTCTCTTACTTTGCCCATACATGAACATGGACGCCACGATAGCTTCAATCAAATCGCGATCCACCTCGCGAACCGCCGACGACTGGGAGCGGAATGCTAGGAGACTCTTGTTAAGGGGTCCACTGTAGCCATACACCTGGTGACGCAACTTCAAAAGCGTCGCACATTGGCTGATCAGCACCAGGCTAGTCTTGTCTTCTTCGGTTCCTCTGCGAGGCAGGCCGGCGATGTTTCCTTGATGCCTGGCTCCCAACACACCATGACGAACCAACTCAAAGGCAAGGAGTGCTGCTTCACCGAGTCCAGGGACCTCGGGGCGATTCTCTGCGGCATCCTTGAGAGCCAAAAAGGTGGTCGCCAATGCGTTCCCCCACTTGGTCAGCGTGTGGGAGTCGCCAACGTAGCCCCTCAGGTGAAGAAATCGCCAAATGGCAACAGATGTGACCATTTCCAAGCTGTCAATTCCTCTGATTTTATTCTCCTTGGCAATGGTCTTGGCCACGAACTCGGCGTTAGCGAGCGCCAGAACCTCCAGGTAGATGGGGCCTGCGAAGCCGGCTGGAAAGACACTGCGTAGGTCGCTCTCCTTGACATCCCAAGTACCAACCTGTTGTGACGGAGGTGGCTGCTGTGCACGATGGTTAATCGTGTGAGAGAACTTTGGATCGAACCAAACACGCAGTGAGATGTCCTTGTGTCCAATACCACGGTGGACACGAGGAATTATCAGGCCAAGAGCCTGTTCCTTGATTGGGACCAGCTTCGCGGTGACGAGCTTCTTGTACTCATCAGACACAACACCGTCCAGAGTTGGCTGCACCACGATCTGACCGTGCGTTATACTGTTCAGATTGCGTGCGCCAATGAGTCCCGTGTTGAGATAGTGGAAGAGCTCCGCGGGCAGCTGGAGGCCGAGATATTCGTGGTTGTCCTTGGTAAGGCGCTCGAAATCGTTGACAATAACCTCGCCGCTTTCGGCGATATAAATGAAATGGTGAACGGCCATCCGTGCCTTCCTGTACTTGTCCAGCCAATTGGCATCTTGAGCCTGCAGGATGTCGTTGAAGGATGCACATGCACTGGCGACAGACTTGTCAGAGGTCCTCAGCATGTTGACGGCGTCCATGATGCTGAAATGATTGGTGTACATCGAGGTGTCCAGCAGAGGGGGAAACGTGGGAAGAAAGGTGGTTCCAGTCATGAGTAAGGCGTCAATGAACATGGGCTCCGTGACACCAAGCATGCGCATCATCTTCTTCTTGGAAATGGCCGTGAGCTTGTTTGCTTCAAAATCGAGGGAGCGAATGATGGCATCCTTGATGGGGTAGAGAAGGAGCTCCTGAGGGCCCATGACGCCGGCACATTGATCAGAGTCAATCATCTCAAAGTAAGCCAGCTGTCGCATTGTCAGTCTCTTGAACCGCGGCATGCCGGCATCATGTCATGAGCAAGCGTACCTGAGCGCATGCATTGTAGGGAGGCACAAGAAAATGAAGACCTCGCTGCTTCAAAATTCCCTGCAACAACGGGTACAAGTTGTGGACATTGTAGGCACCTGAAGAGCGAGACACGATTAATCACGTGGGAAACTCCGCCAGAAAATCTGGGCCACGCATACCTGCATTGGCGCCAAAGGTTGCAACGGCTTGTTCGGCTTCCGATCTCGAGTACAGATCCCACGCCTCGTCTGTCTTCTTGTTCGCAGTCCGCCGACGCCTGAGGCCGACTTCGTCTTGGCCGGTAATGGACTGTCCATTGAAGACGAAGAAGGGAACGATGCGATGCTTATCCCAAAGGTTGAGATTCTCGGTGATGTGAGTCTGGATGCCAGTCAGGCCGCCGAGAGCCGAGAGTAGAGGTTCGTGGGCAGGCGGGGTGTCGAGGAGCTGGCTCAGATAGTAGGTCGCATCGACGGCTATGGAGCAGTCTTCGAGTTCAGAGAGGTCGACCGAGCTATTCAGACAGAAAATGGTCAGTAGCCATTCTTGATGCTCCAAGCAACGAGTGCGTGAATTGTGGGAAAGACGTGCGAGGCGCAAGGGGAAGGGGAGATGAGACGGGCGGAGCGAACGTACAATGCCTGGTTATTGATCCAGCCATCCTCAATGAGAACTGGCAAAAGGAGCATTGTCAGTCAACGGTTCTAGCAGAGCAGCAACGAGGGCAAGTGCACGGTCGAGACATCGACACTGTGGTTGATGGAGCGACGAGCTGGCCACGCGACCCGAGGACGGCACGTGTGGGCCAACAGGGTCAAGGGAAAGCCGCCATTGCCAGGCCGGCAACGTTGCCAGACAGCCTGCCAGAGGACAGGGACAAGATGGAAGCTGTCACAGCCGATATCGATGCGGGTGCTGCCCTCGGAGGCGCGGCGCGAGCACAACCAGCCCCGACAAGCACCAGCATCATCCATCAGATCTGGCCAGAGCAAGGCAAACAGCAGCAGCAGCACCGGCACACCACACGGGGAGGAAGACACATGACTCACGTGGCATCCTGAACAAACCCGGCGGCGACCAAAGCGCCCGTACTCGAGGAAGGGAAAATGGCTGGTCGACTGGACGAGGGCCCGATATGGAGTTGGTGGTTGCGCCGGGTGTAGTTGTCGAAGGGGTTCGGCGTTGAAGTTGGGTGGGAGTTGTGGATTTCTCTAGGGGACTCGAGTCTGGAGCCAAGAGAAATGCGGCTTCTTGCGCTGCTTGGCGCCTTTTCCGTGGCCCGAGAAGTCTTGTGAGGAGTGGACTGGCGGTTGGCAGTTTGGTGGAATAAAAAAAAAAAAAAAAAAAAAAAAAGAGAGAGAGAGAGAGAGAAAACACAGACTGCGCAGGATAGGTCAAGACGACGGTTACGCCTGCCTCGCCTGCTTTGCGGTCCTGTCTGCTTCGCCTTGTCCTGTCCTGAGGGAAAGTACTACTGCGTACAGCAGCTGCGCTCGCTTTGTCTGACGTGTCGTGTTGGGCTTAGTGTCATGCCGCTCTGGCTGGGACTCGAGCAACAGGTACTTGACCTAGGTACCTTGGGCACCTAGGTTCCTACTCCGTACTGAAGTGCCAAACCACCTTGGCCTTGCCTACTTCTTAGTAGGTACTTGAGTACTAAGTACTTAAAGTAGTCGACCTACTCAAGTAATCGCCTGTGCACCGCCGGACTGCTACTGGCTACCTTCTACTCAAGTACCCAAGGTTCTCCGTACTGGACATCTGGAGGTAAAAGCGGCGCTGCTGAGGCACCGCGTTGCTCGAACTGTTGCCAAAAGCCCCGGCCAAATACGTACTTGAGGAAGTGCTTTTTGTGTGAATACTTATGATGCGGCTAGTCTGCCTGCCTGTCTTGTCTCGTCTCGTTGTTGCTCAGGCACAAGCAGCTCGAAGCACAATAATTACCCGAGTACTTACTGAAGTAGGTACTCCGTACTTCCTCAGGTAAGTAGGTAGGTAGGTACCTAGGTAAGTACCTAGGTAGGTAAGCATCTAGACACACAGCAAAACTAAGTACCTAGGTACTCAAGTAGGTACTTAACTCAAAGGACTCAAGTACCTAGGTCGCTGGGTCCCAACGTCTCTTGGTCAAGTACAACTTAAGTACTATTATTAGTCAGTCCCTTACTCGAGTCCTCCGAGTCCTGACTCCTCGGCATTGGCACCCCGCAATTGAGCTGAGCTGCCAGGCTGTTTTTATCAATGCGGGTTCTCATGATTGATACATAACCCCAGCTTCATACACTCACAGGCTGTCTGTCCTCCAGCCGTTCACATGTCTTCTCGCTCGAACTCGACAAATGGCACGCTGGAATAAGAACGAATTCGACCTGCACCTCTGCAAGAGGTCAATGTTCCCGCCGGAGAATCTGCCTTGGCCCTTCTTCAACACCACACCAAACCATCGAACCCCCGACTCCAACTCCTCCATTCATTCCAACCGCAAAACGTTGTGCGGCCGCATCCCGCGCCGTGATAGCCGCGTGGCATAATTGATTGCTTGATTGATATATTCATTCATTCGGAGTACGAAGTGCTCGGTATGTATTCACGCCCACGCCTCACAGTCCCCGCAATACACCCACGACCCCCCCAATCGTCAACATTCAGATCCATTCTCGCCGTGAGTAACAAACACCACGCAAATAACAGGCGCCCGATCTCGCAGCAATGCCCCCCGCATCCGCAGTTATACCCATCGTCGACCTCTCCGGTCCCCAAGCAGACGTGGCAAAGCAACTAGTCGACGCCGCCGCCGACCATGGCTTCATCTACATCCGAAACCTCGGCCACGACATACCCGTAGCCAGCATTGACGAAGCATTTGCCCTGGTACGTCCCCTCATTGTCACGTTGGCAAGGGACTCGAAAACACTGATGACAATCCATGCAGTCCGAGAAGCTGTTCAGCGCACCGTCAGACGAAAAGCAAGCATGCTCCATCCAAACCAACAATCGAGGATGGGTAGGCATGCATGCCGAGACACTGGACCCCCAGAACCAAAAGGTGAACCGGTACTCCCTCTAGCAAATACCCCCTCATGTGTCAATCGATCGATATATGTGCAGAACCCTCTAAATGTCACCAGGTGGGAGATTTCAAAGAGTGAGCAACCGCGCATTCAAACCCCTCACTCCGCCGTCCATCTCAGGCAAATCCTAATGTCCACCCCAGAGCCTTCAACTTTGGCGAGTTCATAAACAGCAAGGCCCAGCAGCCCATACCGCCCACCGTCGCCGCCGACGAAGGCCGTTTCTCTGCCTTTGCCGACCTCTGCCGCGCTCTGTCTCTCAAAATCCTCACCCTCCTAGGCCAGGGCCTCCAAGTACGTCTCGTCGTCGTCCCGTCCCGCGCCCCCTCCCCCCTTTTCACTAACAACCCAGGTGGACGACTTCTTCACCTCTGCACACTTCAGATCGCCCTCGGGGAGCGGCAGCACCCTCCGCTTCCTCCGCTACCCCCCGCCGTCAAGCACATCCCACGCCGCCGAGGACGTCCGCGCCGGCGCCCACTCCGACTACGGCTCCATCACCCTCCTCTTCCGCCTCAAGGGCCAGGCTGGTCTGGAAATCCTCAAAAAGGACGGAACATGGGCGCCTGTCCCTGTCTCGCCGCCGGGCACCGAGAACGATGCCAGTCCTCCCATCCTAGTCAACATTGGCGACTTGTTGTCGTATTGGACCAACGGGCTCTTCAGGAGCACCGTCCACAGAGTGGTCTTCCCTACGAATGGCGCAGACGGGGTCGACGGCGAGAGCAGCAGCGAGCCGCGATACTCGATCGCCTTCTTTTGCCAGCCCATGGACGATGTCTTGCTGGAGCCCGTGCCGAGTGAGCGAGTGAGGAGTTTCGTCGAGGACGGTGTAGTGAAGAATCCCTATGCCGAGAGAAAAGTCGTGACGGCACGGCAGCACCTGTTCATGAGGTTGAGAGAGACCTACGGCACGTTGTATGAGGACGAGAAGGATTGACGTGCAGATGAGTGTACAGTGTCCGCCTCTGCAGCGTAAAACGAATTCTTGGGTATCCTGGTTGCGCCCCCCTCCCCTCTTTCCCCATCCATCCAGTCAAGCGTATTCAACATGTTTCCCAAGGCTGCTTATCCAATCTCCTATACAATTCCACAGTACCACCTCCGCCAAGGGTCATGGAACCCATCGTAATACTTGGTCTCCGTTTCTTCATCCTCCATCACCTTGAGATGCTCCAACACTCGCCAATCGTACACCGCTATCCACCCCCGCGTTTTCCGGGGCACTTCCTTTCGAGCTCTTTCCACCTCGGCCAGCACAAGCTTAGTCTCGCTGGCCTTGTCTACCGTGTCAACCAGGATGATGCTCTGCAGAGACTTGTCGTTGCCCAACGTGGCGCCATGGTTGTTTTCCCGTGCCCAGTCATCCAACGATACCGCAAATTCGGACGCACCATGGACGTCTAGCAGCGCCGTCCGCTCTGACGAGGGCCCCAGTGCCCTCGAAGCCAGAAGGATCGTGCACGCAGATAGATGGCACTTATCGCCAGCAAACTTGCACCTACTCCTGAATCGAGATGATGTGTTTGTCATCTGAGCTGCTACAGGGGAAGAAATACCAGTTGGCGTGCAGTCAGGCTCGCCCTCTGCAGGACCAGCTCGCTCACAAGCTGCATCAGAAGCTGCATCCTTCTGCGTTCCTCGTCTATGTGACGGCATCCTGTCGAATCCAAGGCGCTGATCTGTCCGACCGCTCACAGGAAGCGACGAACGCGGCGTCGCAAGCTGCTGAGAGACATCGCCATCAATATCATCTAAAGGCCTCCGCGACATCTTGGTCGCCGATACTGGTGACGAGCAGCCTGTCGTCGAGAGACGGCGTTTTGGTATCGGTTCCGCGACGGGCGCAGACGGTGTCGCGTACTTCCGTTTGCTCTCCCTCGTTGGTGTCTGGGGCTCTTGTTCCGGCGGAGAAGAAGTAGGCGGGGTGAAGAGCGATGCAGTCGAAACGGCAGTTGATTTTTGACTCTTGTCATGAATCCTGGCTACTTGGGGAATTTCGCTCAGCGACCGCTGCATTATTGGCGGCAAAGGCGTTCTGGAGCTGCACGGCGAAGGGGTAGGCATCGTCGTAGCCGTCAGCTGACTGACGGCATCGACCGCGCGCCCTCTGGGATCGGCCCCTTCCAGCCTGGCAATCCATTCAAGGTTCTCTTGACTGTCTTCCAGGTCCGGAGTTGCCCTTGCGTTTTCGGCCATCTCCTGCAGCTCGTCAAACGTGACCGTGTCCGAAAAGTCCCTGTCAAAGTGTATCTTGGAGACGGCAGGAAATCTCAGCGTCCAAAAGCCCATGTTGCCCGGTTTGTGAAAGCTGAAGCACCTCAAGTCGAAAACAGCTGGGTTTTGAAACGCCACGGTCAGCGGAGCGTTGGCCTCAATGCCCTTCGGAACGAGTAGCTTTGTCCTGTCATTCTTGGACATTGGGACCGACACAGGACTGCAGTGAGATATGAAGCTTTTGAGAAGTGGCTCTGTAATCTCCACGGCGCTGACGACGGTGAATCTTGGCTTGGCATCCCACCGCCTGACTTCTTCCTTGTTGGTCAAGCAGCCCACGAAAAATACGGTCCATTGAAGATGAGGAATCCTGTAGGACCTTGCCCTTGCAGAATTGAAGCCTGCCCCGACAACAGCGAAGTCTCCCACGTCGCCGAAGTTGCCAATGTATTCCTTTTTGAGCTTGATACATAGGCCTGAAGTGCGACCATGGTGGGCTTCAAAGTTGAAATACGGGTCGTCCGGCTTGAGCACCAAGCCCTCCCCTTTACCAGTGATAACGTTAGCGAATGCCTTTCGCAGCTCTGAAGCCGCGCTTGTGCGATGAAAGTCTATGAGCGTCCGTTTTACCAATTCCGCTCGGCCCCGCTCGCAATTGATTGTCTTTTGTAACAATTTGAATCTTTCAGAATGGCGGACGCCTAGCAACGATTGGTCATCGTGGAGGAGGATATCATAGTACACAATCATCAAATTCTCATACCAACGTGGCCTGACTCAGTTAGGACAACTCCGTGACCATGTGAGGAGTGTCAGACATACGGTGAATCCAGGTCAGTGCCCATGAGCCGACCACGTCGTGCGACATGGTTCCTGATTTTGTGGAACGGCATCGTCTTGTTCTCCTAGCGGTGGTGAGAAAGGAAGTCTGTTTACTTGAGGCGTACGTACCACATCGTTATGCACCACCAGTTCTCCCTCGAGGATGCAGCCTTTCCGCACACTGCAGTTTGACGTGCCAAAGCCGAGAGATTTGACAATTACTCTGCCCCGAGTCAGCCGGCACTCACTCGGCAAGAAGATGCGACTCCGCTGCTCACCCATGTAAGTTGTGTCTGTCCTCCGTGCTGTCCTTGCCGCTCTTGGAGAAAATCTGAACTCTTGGTTTTCCGCCAGCTAGGTCGACATGTATTTGGCAATACTCGCCGTCGATCTTTTGCTCCACGCTCATGCGTCCATGTCCCATATCTAGGCAATGTTTGATGCTGCGGCCTTTGAGCCAATTCTGTCTCCCTACCTTGACCCCCAATTTTGGTTTAGCCGCTGCAAGGATCCTATTCCTCCGCGGAGAGCTTCTCGTAGAATTAGGGAGCAGGCTACCCTTGGCCGATTGTAGCGTTTGGATGGCAGTTGCAAAGTCGTCTTGCGCTTTGAGGATGAGGGGCAGGCTTGGATCGCAGCAGCGGTACACGAGCTGGGAATCCAAAATAACCGGCTGGTAGTCCTTCAGGACAAGTCGTGTAAACCACTTGGCCTCGCGCGCAGTGAGACGACGATAGAGATCTTCCAGGTCACATCGCCCCCGCGGAGCCAGGGCGGCTTCTGAATTTCGAATACACGGGGAGCTCCATTTGATCCTCGACGCCAAGCTGTGCAAAACCTCGTCGATTGCTTCTACACTGATTCGCAGTTTCTCACTGCACGTGGGATTTGGCTGCGTTGTCACATGAGTGAGCAAGCGCGTCCAGCGTGGGAATCAATCAGGGCTGGAATTTACTGTAGAATTGAGAATGCGTTCAGTACAATCCGCAAGGTCAGCGCACTGCCCGGGCTGTTTGTACAAGGCGAGTTCCACGATTCGGGACGATCCGAGCATCAAGGCCCTCCCGATGATCTTCTCCAGGGTCGGGGCTTTGATGCAGTAAACTCGGTCTGTCCGTTTCTCTGGTAGCAAAGTGGAAAGCAAGGCAGCCAGGTCTGTGTCATGCGCGTCGAGGCGGCCGCGGTGCCGTGCAAACCAGTCGACCACAGCCTGTGTGTTGGACTTATTTGCGACGCAGAGTCGGTGGCACTCGTCCAGCAAGTCACACACGAGAACAAAGGGAAACGGCATGATGAGTTGTTGAAGCTGCGGTACACATTTCGAGGAGACGAGTCGAAAGTTGTGGGGATTCAGGAACCCCTCGGAACGCGCTTGTGCGAGTCGGCCCCACCAAGAGACGGATCCATCCGAGTGCGCTCAGAAGCCACGCGAAATGGACGCGCAGTCACATGAGTGTCAGTTTCAAGTAGAGCGGTCATGCGGTTGGTAGCTTGATAACCCTAACCCTAAATCTTGCCGCAAGAGAGATTATATATATTTAATCTACTCCGTACCAAAAGAGAAAATATGTGTATATTAAGAAAGGAAGAAAAACAATCTATCTTGAATTGTTTCTCATTAAGAGTGCAGAGCGGTCGAGATTTCTCACCCCAGCGTTACATCCACAACACAAGGGAGCCAGCATTCGAGTCTTCGGTTTGCAGATACAGAGTCCTCATTGCACCCAAATTGCTCTCCTTCAAATTTCTTCCGTGACAAGATTCAAAGCAGCAAAGTGTCCAAGAGGTGAATACCCGCACGATACTCCGCGTCGTCATTCAGTGCCTGTCCTCACGCGCCTTGACCCAGCGTCATTCATTCTCTGAACGACGGTGTGAAGCTGGCAAGAGGGCATCACAACAATGAGCAGCCATCACCCCATCGGCCACGTGCGTGTCGCACATAAACAAGAAGCATGAATCGCACGACATGTTTGATTGGCTGCTAATTTCAGCAGGAAATTGGGGTTCCTGCGGGGGCTCAACAACGGGGGCGGGGCGCGCCATGCCGAATGAAATTAAATTGCTTTTAGTCCATGTTTTTATTATTACGTATATCATCATCACCACCATCATTATTTCACCGTGCGGACTGGTATACCGTATGACAGGGTCTGGCGCAAACGGCTGCGACCGCGAACCAGTGACGAGGCTTGATTTCGTCCAGAGCCCTGCCACTGCCAGGCTGCGGTCGGGCTGGGATCAAGGAAGGACGCGGGCGCGGGCGCGTGGGTGTTTTTTTTCAGTGTTGGAACGTTGAGTTGTTGACGATGCGAGCGGCGAGCGGCGAGAGACAACATACGAGGTGCGTCGTTGCGCCGCCGGGAATAAGTAATCGTAGCCGTTGATTGACGTGCACTCGGTAGTAGTATTGTTATTCATTCATCGAGCCGACTTGGGGCATGTGCCACGAGTCCGAGTCAAGTCGAGTCGAGTCGGGTCGAGCGCCGACTTGATAAACAAACGACCGTCGCTGCCTCGCAGTCGTCGGCCCTGTGCTTCGTCGGTCTGTCTCAAACACCACTGAGCGCATCGATCGACACGCGGCCCGCCGTCGCCGTTGTCCAAGTTCGAACGAAACAGGCTTGACGCTTGACGGTGACAGCCACGCCCTTCGAATCTTCTTTTCGCAACCTGGAGGACCCGGAGCCTCTCCGCCTCAGCCTCTCGGCCAAACGAAACGCCATCCGTCACCGCTCCGACCGACCGGCCGCATCTGCATGCACGGTTTGTCTTCATCGTCCGTCGTCTTCGTCCCCCGACTTTTACCACGAGCACAGAACCCCGGACGGCCGGTGGACAGCGAGTTAAGCGGCCGGTTCCACGCTCCACGCCAATTTGGGTTTGTGTTTGCTCACTTGTGACGAACGTTGCGACCCGCCCGTTGCCCCGGCGCCCAGACATTGATTCATCCGGCACCGGTCGACGGACCAATGACGCTGGCCAATTGAGCCTGCGCCCGCCGTCCGCGAATAGCCCTGCTACTAAGAAAAAAAGCGCCGGCGAACAAGACGAGGATTGAAATTAAAGGACAAGAAAGAAGAAATTAAATAAGAAAAAATACCTGACCGGGCACTACCAGCACTGCTAGCACTAGTCATCGTCGACTGACCGACTTTCGAGTCGGCAATTGGCCGATTGGCCGGTCCCTCCACCCGATTTGCGTCGCCAGGCCAGAATGAGCAGCAGCCAGGCCCGTCTCTGGCTCTGGCTCGGGCTCGTCTGGTCTTCCTTCGCTTCACACCCTCACTCATGACTGCTTTCTTCTTCATTTGCGTCCTCGACCGCTACTTCGCTCTCTTCCATGAATATCGTCGCCGTCTAACCCAGCGCCCGCTTGTCCTTGCGCTCGCCCCAGGAGGTTCTGCGCGCTGCCGCAGAGCCCTGTCCTCTCCTTCATCCATCCAGATCCTGGTCCAGCGTTGTCGAGCGCACACAAGTTGGAGCAGTCGCCGCTCGTTGCATACATCCGACAACAACACCAAGAGGCTCCCGGCCATGGCCTCGCGTCCAGAGATTCGCCGTCGCCGCTCTGCGGCCGACGGCACGCCCGTGGAGCCCTCCATCTTGGCTTCGGCCCTTGGATCCGCCGCATCTTCGGCATCATCATCGTCGCCATCACCATCGCCATCACCCCTGACGAGCAAGCTCAGCAAGCATCGAAGCCTGGACGGCAGCATCTGGTCCACGCCGCCTTCGTCCAAGCGCCATTCACGCACCGGCTCTGCTTCTCGCGTCCCAAACAGACTGTCACTCACTCTTCCGATTGCGCTGCCAACCAGCGATCCTACGAGACCTACACCCACAACGACGGCATCTACGCCCCTTTCCATACCCCCCACTCCACGGCATCATCCAGGTCCGCCGTCGCCTTGCAACGTGGACGAGTTCATAAGGACAATCGCCGCAAAGGAGCGCAGGGTACTCGAGCTGAGAGAGGCGCTGGCCCACGAAGAGTCGGAACTTGCAGCGCTCAAGAAGCAGTTCTGCTCGGTGGACGCCCTTCGCAATCGAGACGGCGGCCTCCATGATCCCACCAGCAGAGAATTTACCCCAGCTGCGGACGGGGGCTCGCAGTCACCCAGATGCAGCGTCGACGTGGACCACCGCAGGAGCCTCCTGCTGCAAACTCAAAACCAAGGTACGCCTACACAGAACCGCAGGACGGCCTTTAGGGGACGCCATACCCGTACACTGTCCCTTCTCTCGCCGGCGAGACCCAAACCCGAATTCTCCGTCTTGGAGGACAAGATGGGGCCAGATACCCCGTCTTCGTCATATCAGCACAGGACAACTCAGGCCGCCAACCCGGTGCTGGCAAAGAGGGCGTCGTGGCAGCCCCGAAGCCAGCAAAGTCCACTTGCTGCCTCGCAGTTCATGCAAGACGTCCGGCTCGGCTTCAAGGCCTTTGTGGAGGATATTCGACAGATCACGATTGGTGATGAGCCCATTCTTGGGCACAGCGAGAGTCCTTTGCAACAACACCGGACCGGGTCGACGAGCCGCGCAGGGCCGTCCGACCAGGCCCGTTGTAGAAACGGCCAGGCAGTCCAGAGCAGAGCGAGCCCTTTGGAGGCGTCGGCGCCCGCGGCAACGGCTTCGCCAACGCCCACGAGCTCTGAAAAGGACGTGTCGCTGGAAAGGTCGCGGCCCGCAAAGAGCAAGCATTTCTCCTGGACGCCGCTGGGCTTTGATTCCCTCGACGACACCGACTGGGCCAGTTGGGAGTCTCCCGTCGCCCCCAACACCACGCGCTGGAGCGGCTCGACTGTGCACGACGCAGCAATGGACGACATTCAGAGCATCTCCGAGCATGAGGAGCACGCAACTCCAGTGTAAGTGTTTGGAAAGGCAAGTGAACCCCCCAGAGCACAATAGACGGCTGACCAAGACGTAGGAAACCAAAAAACTTGGAAACCCCCATCCTATCCCCAAACAAACTCGAAGAAATCTTCCCCAACGTGGTCAACCGGTTGTCGCCCAGCAACATCAAGCGCACGGCCAACAATCTCCTCGACGAGTGGGAGAAGTCCCTGGTGGCACCCACGGCGTCGGAGGAGCAGCAGCAGCAGGCCAACAAGGAAAACACGGCACCGACAAGGACATGATGAACGGCAACAGGGACCAAATCATCCGGGACATGATTCACATGAGTATTCTGATACAGCGTCTGAGGTGGCACCAGCCGGAGGGAAGCCACTCTGTAGCGTCCTGGGCGAAGGGCGTAGATTCTGTGTGTGTCGCCTGGCGGCAGCGGGCGACGACGGCGGGCGGCTGGGCACATTGGATAGCGTGGCTGAGGTGCGTGTTTGCCCTGAGGCAGACCTGGAAGCTTCTGTATAGGCTGTATCTGGGATGGGGGTGGACATTCGGCTCATGGACGCTGGGGTCTTGCGTGGCTGGTGTTGGAGGCGGCGACATGTTGAGGATTTGTGCGACGTTGAGGGGATTCGTGGTGGGGGTTGCTTGTATTTGAGACGACGCGACGATAATGATGAATGACTTGTTTGGACTGCATGACCAGCATGAAGTGCGCGTTGAGCAGGTGAGAGAAGGGCGTCTCTGTCGTGGCGGAGTCGCATCGCGACGGAGATGCGGCTGACATGGCCTGGCCAGATTACCAGCGTCCGTGTCTTCTTCCGCGATCCATGCACGGCACCATCCGTAAGCCGCCCCCAACCAAGTCTGGCCAGACCAGCCCAGCCTTGGCCACATGGAGGATCAGATACTCCGTACTGATACTCCACACTGAAGTGGGCGTGCCGGGGCGAGTGCATGATGCAGCAGAAGCCCCGCTCCTGTTGCCGCATGCATCTCGCTCTCGGTTTGCGCCGTGTCGCGCAGCATCGCGAGGCCGAGAAGCGAGTGCGAGAAGCGCCCGCCCTACCAGGACCTACGTTGTGCTTTTCTTTTTTGCTTTTCTTTTCTTGCTTGATCCTGTGTGATGCAGTGCAGTGCCACGTCACATCTCCAAATCGGCAGTGGAAATGGAAATGAAGGAAGCACTTATTAAGGCGAGGTGCCCGCTTGTCCTTTGTTCCACGCAAGAGCAACACCGCCGCCTTTGAAGATTGTGGGACTTCTGCAAGTCGACCACGCCGCCATCTCCCCATCCCAGATATATCGCGCTGGCATATCCCGTCAAACGTCGGCCATTCTCATTGCCAACTGTTCCGAAAGAAGGAACGGAAACATGGGAGAGTTCAAGCCCAAGCTGGCGCCTGTGCCGTCGCCTGCGGTGGAGAAGCCAATCCCCCTCGCCGTTGTATGTTTCTCACTCTCACCCATCGTCGCCAAGCACTGCTGACGCCCCGGCCAGCTCTTCCTCAAGTCGCTCCTCGCGCAACGTCATGGAATCTTCCTCATCGCCGCCATCCAACTCGTCATATGTACCGTCTTCCCCGGCCGCTACGCCGCGGTGCCCATCGCCACGCTCGTCCTGGGCGTCCTCACCACCGAAATCATCGACTTCTTCCTCCCGCGCCGCGCCACGCCCCCGGCCTACATGACCGCCGTCGTCCCCGGCCGGACCACCTCGCTCCTCCCCAAGGCCGACGGCACATTCGGCTCGGAGCCCTCGTCGCGGCCCCTCGTCGTCTTCAACCTCGGCGCGCAGTTCAACCACCCCCGCGGCCGCATGTGCCCGCACAGCAGGGAAATGGCCGACAAGTTCGCCGAGATGAACCACAACCTGCTCGAGCGCCGGGACGAGCTGGGGCTCATCAGCATCACCGACTGGGTCGGCTGCAGGCCTGGCACGGCCGACACCCTCTTGACCAGCTACTATTTCCGCGACGTCGAGAGCATCCACAAGTTTGCGCACGAGGAATTGCACCGCGGCGCGTGGGACTGGTACAACAGCGTGAGGCCGGACCACATTGGCATCTTCCACGAGACCTTTGTCGTTCCGGCGCACTCGTACGAGACCATCTACGCCAACTGCAAGCCCTTGATGCTGGGCGCCGGCGTGGTCAAGTGCGACGAGATGGAGGGCGAGCGGACATGGCGGAATACGCTGGTGAGTGCGGATAACGTCGAGTTGAAGACGCAGTGGCGTCGGATGAACAGGGACGGCGACGGCATTCCGAAACAATGAGTTGGTGGTGGCACTGCCAGGGGAGAGGAGGTCCTTGACGAGTAGAGACTTTCTGCTTGGATTGCTCCAGATGTGGTTCAAGCCAGTCGGTGAATAGAACTTTGATGGGAGCCATGATGTGGTTTAGCTGTATGAGATTGTCTGCTTTTCGCTTTTGCCCACGCCACGCCCAGCAAAGTCACATTTGTCGCCAAAAGTTCTCTGTGAATGCGTGCTGCGCGACCACTATCCTGCTAACCTCGCCTATCTTTCGTATTAGTGAAAGTTCAAAAAACTAATAATCACAGTACTATGCGATACTACACAGAGGAAGCCCAGTGCGAGACGCATTCATGATAATCGGTGTAGGTGGCCTATGGGAACACAGGTGAAACCGACAAGTCTCAGTCTTGACAACTACCGTCAAAGAACCATTGCACTACTCAACTGTACACCAAGTTCACTACAACTCACCAAAAGCCGTCTATTGTTTTCAAAGTCTGACGGAATAATCGAAAGGGCTGCACATCTTGGAATATTGGCCAAGATGACCGTGGCTTGCGGCGCAGCTGGTATGAGTTGGGCATCAAGATGCCATATATTCGATGTAGAGTCCTCCTACATGTTAATGAAGTGAACGCCATCACAAGAAGCTGCCAAAGCGACAAAAAATGAACGGCTTGGGGTTGGGGTCCTCCAAGCTTGCCGACGATGTTGACGTTGGTCGGAGATTTCGTGAGTGTGGTGGGTTTTGGAGCGGTTTATCCGGAGTACGGACCATTGATGCACCTGGAGCTTTGCGTGTGAGGGGGAGTCGGCGGGACGCTGAGGGGCGCTGAGGGATGCGCGGTCACTAAAAGTCCGGTTGGCTTTGGGTGGGTCCTTCCCGAGTCGTCCTTCCGAGCGTGGCTCTTTCCAAGATTAGATGCCAGGGGTGGCGCAAGCTAGTTAGTTATATACTCCACCGAGCTGCGACCCTCACCTCAGCCCACCACACATTTTCTCCAATCCCAACTCCTAACGAGCCAAAGGACCAAAGTCAACTAGGAGCCCTGCGGCCGTCAAGGCGCACCGCACCCATCACATCAGGGGCATGGACACCAGGGATGAGGGAATTCCGACTCGTCCCCAGCCTCACAACTTAGGGCGCGACGCCAAGGACTGCTAAGCCGCGGCAGGCCATTGATGCCTTTCGTCCTTTCTCACGGAAAACACGCAGAGTCGTCTCTTACATCTATTCTTGTGCAACATCAGCCTGTCAGTCAACTAAGGTCGTAAGGTCGTTTAAACTTTTGGGCGTACCCGACATGGGGGCCAGTAGTCACAGCCTTCTTCGGGAGACGAGTCTGCCATCTCGTGTCGCGTATGATCGAGGGCTTGTGACTAAAATGAGGCCCATACGAGATGACAGCGGCATATCTGACAACAGTCCAGTCGAGGTGTTCAGGAGAAATCCGGACGAAACCAATTACGGAGTACTTTACTCGATAGCAGCGAGAGTGGCCCCTGGGCCCGAACAAAGGTGTTACCGAGCACGGAGACTCCATACTGTTGCACCCACCCTCTTCAAGCTGACGGCACAATCTCCTTGTCTTGGCCCGACTTGGTTTGTCACGGAACAGCACCTAGTGGCATCCAGAATCCACAAGCCCCATCATGGATATGTCTCCTGAGAAGCGGGCAGGGTCCTGATGGTGACCACCGTCCCCCCCTGCAACGGCTCTCTATTCCCACTTTCCATTCTTCAATTTCTGGTCATTTATTCCTATTGTCGTCCCATATTGCTCCCTCCGCCTAGCAGCTCGCGCGGACGAGTCACCGTACGGCAGCTACCGACTTCATATTCACTCATTTCCGATACAATTTACACATTTACGTACCTCTTTTGACTCCTTTGCTGGTGGTCTAGGTTGCTTCACAGGCGTCCTTCCCGCTGCCTACGTGTTGACAACAACTATCTTCGTAAATCTCACGTGCGACACCAATTTTGGGTTCCGAATTGATGTTTTCCATCATTCACTTGTACATTACAATCACAGTCACCTAACGCAGGCTGGGCTTGCCACAAAACGTCTTACCCCTAGACTCGAGGGCGCTACATGTACTCCCGATCAACGAGTCCTGTTGCTCAGTTTAGTCCCGGCATCTTCATATTCTTGAGCCTGTTCATTCGGTCGCTTGAGCAATTATGAAAGGCTTCGCGACAGCGGCGGCGTTGTCGCTCGTCCTGGTGGGCACTCCTGTCGTTGGTCTGGATATCAAAATCGAAGATGAAGGTGGGTTCGACTTTGGGGCCCTTCAATGGATTCCTTCGTGGAGGTAGTGTTCTGATTATGGGTGACATTTAGCCTCCTTGAAGAGCGCGGCCGGGACGATTGCCTACGGTCTAATGAAGTACTACAGCGGAAATAATACGGGCGATACCCCGGGAAACTTGCCAGATCCATACTATTGTGAGAATTACATCATTTTCCGAGACATTTCCAAGCTTCACGTTGCAGGCACGTCGCTGACACCAAGCAGGGTGGGAGGCGGGGGCTATGTTTGGCACCATCATCGACTACTGGCATCTCACGGGGGATAGCTCTTACAATGATGCTACGATGCAGGCAATGTTACACCAAGCTGGGGACACCAAGGACTTTATGCCCAAGAATCAGACGAGAACCGAAGGCAACGACGATCAAGGCTTTTGGGCCATGGCGGCCATGTCTGCCGCCGAGAATAAATTCCCCGATCCTCCGAGCGATCAAGCCCAGTGGCTCGCCCTGGCGCAGGCCGTATTCAACCAGTATGTTTTGCGATGGGATCCAGCTGACTGCAAGGGTGGCATGAGGTGGCAAATCTTTCAGTTCAACAATGGCTGGAACTACAAAAATTCCATCTCGAACGGATGCTTTTTCAATATAGCGGCTCGACTGCATCGTTATACAGGTAACAGCACCTACGGCGACTGGGCCACCAAGGTTTTTGAGTGGCAACAATCCATCAACTTGATCACTAGTGACTACGGCGTACACGACGGTATCAGTATCGACCCGGACGGGACTTGTACAAGAATCGACATGCTAGAGTGGTCCTACAACTCGGGTATTTACCTTCATGGCGCCGCTGCCATGTACAACGCCACGTCAGATGACAAGTGGAAGAAGGCAGTTGACGGTATCTTGAAGCATGCCTCTGAAAAGTTTTTCAAGGACGGTGTGGCCTACGAACAGTTCTGCGAGTTCAACAAGTTGTGCAACAACGACCAACAAAGTTTCAAGGGCTACCTCCTTCGATGGCTCGCGGGCACGGCCCAATTGGCCCCGTACACCTATAACACCATCAAACCATTCCTTCAAAAGGCCGGCATAGCCGCTGCGGCTGCCTGTACCGGGTCGACAGCGGCACCAAATTTCAAGGGTCAGCCGGGAACTGCCTGCGGCTTCAGCTGGATTCCACAGGGCAAGTTTGATGGAATCGTTGGTGTTGGTGAGCAGATGAATGCTTTGGACGCAGTCATGTACAACCTCGTGCAAAAATCGGCGCCGCCAGTGACACAGAAGAATGGCGGTACATCCAAGGGCAACCCATCGGCTGGTAGTGGTGGCACGGAAGATCCGACGGTGCTTAAGCCTCTGACTACGGTAGACAAGGTCGGGGCGGGTATCGTCACGATGCTGTTCATTGTAGGTGCCGTCGGCGGAACTGCGTTTATGCTTCTGGAATTTAGATGAAGGAAGCATGTAGGGCGTTGGACCTTTTGTTCTTTTGTTATGCAACTGAGGCTGCGGTTTTTTTTTTTTCTATAATCGGCAGATGGAGATACCATGACGGTTCTGGGGATTTGTTTGGAACGGCGTTTATTGGAACATGGAATCCGGTCAGGCAAACAGCTGTCGCCATTTTGGGAGACTGGCTCCCTCGGGGACGCGACGAAAGGCCAAGGTTGAGCACTACCATTGCGTCCCCTGTCTGTCAGTTGAAGTCGAGTCGCGCTAGCATTGCATCAAGACAGCGAAGCGTACCTGTACTGGAGCACTCAGAAATAGAATGAGTCGGAAGGATGAGGCACCAGTGCCCAGATGCTACGTGGGTGGTTGCAATGCCACGTTGGAATTTGAGAGAAGCCCCCGAAGTATCCGCGTGGCTTCATGGCGTTTTGCCATTCAATCTCTGGCTATCCAGTCCGTTCCGTCTGGCATTGGGAATTTTGAAGATTGTTGGCAGCAACAACGCCTAGCTTCTTGTCCGACACCACGACGACCTTGGATGTGCATGTCGGTCTGGCCTGGAGGAGCAACGCACGACGGATGACTTGTGACCCCGCTCGTCGTCCGACTCGTCTCGTTTACGCCACTGGATAGTTTCTTGCCGTGCTCTTCAACCACGCCAGCCCAACTTGCGCCGTCGCGCTCTCTCGTGTCCATCATCATGTCTTCCAAACACTTCATCGACGACCCTACACACCTCGTCAACACCGCCCTCCACAGCCTGACCCTTGCCAACCCCAACGTCGCTCTCGACTCAGACTCAAAAATCGTCTACCGCCGCCCCAGCCATGACAAACCGCAAGTATCCATCATCTCCGGCGGCGGGTCGGGCCATGAGCCCTCCTTCGGGGCCATGGTCGGTCCAGGCATGCTGTCCGCCGCAGTGGCAGGCACCATATTCGCCAGCCCATCCGCCGAGCAGGTGCGTACGGCCATTGCCCACCGTGTAGACACCAGCCGGGGCGTGTTGGTCGTGGTGATGAACTACACAGGTGACGTGCTCAACTTTGGCATGGCTGTCGAGAAGGCCAAGGCCGCCGGGCTACCCGTCGACATGGTCGTCGTAGGCGATGACGTGGGCGTCGGCAGGGCAAAGGCAGGCAAAGTGGGGAGAAGAGGCATCGCGGGAACGGTGCTCGTGCTGAAAATCGCGGGTGCCTTGGCCGCACAGGGACGGTCGCTGGGGGAGGTCGCCAAGGTGGCGAGATTGGCGGCCGACAACATCGTCAGTGTCGGCGCGAGTCTGGAGCATGTTCATGTACCAGGGAGGGCGGTCGGTGCTCAGGACGACACGTTGGCGCAGGGCGAGGTAGAGATTGGCATGGGCATTCACAACGAGGCCGGTTCCGAGAGAGCCAAACTCCATCTGCCTCGATTGGTGGGCCGGATGCTTGCCCAGCTGCTGGACTCCAGCGACGAGGACCGCGCATTCCTCAAGGTCAACTCCAACGAAGTCGTCTTGATGATCAACAACTTGGGGAGTGTGTCGGTGTTGGAAATGGGCGGCATTACGACCGAGGTTGTGACGCAACTGGGCTCCAGCTATGGAATCCACCCTGTCCGCATCATCACAGGCACCTTTATGACGAGTCTCAACGGGTTGGGATTTAGCGTCTCGCTGCTCAACGTGGTCAACACGGACGTCGCCGGCCCCGGGATGATGGAGCTGTTGGATGCCGGCGCAGAAGTTACCGGGTGGTCGGCGCCGATCCGCAAGGAGACGTGGGAGGCGAAGAACGTGGCAACCCGCACCGATGAGAGGGGCCACGATGAGCAGGTCAAGCCCAGCGGGCTACGGATGGACAAGAGCATCGTCAAGGAGAGGCTGGAGCTGGCTCTGGACAGGGTCATTGCCGCCGAGCCAGAGATCACGCGATATGACACCGTGGTCGGGGATGGAGACTGCGGCATCGGCTTGAAGAGGGGTGCAGAGGGTAGGTTTACTGTCCCCGGCACACGGGCACACAGATGGGCACTCGCTAACGTGAAACATTCTCCCAGCCGTCTTGAAGCACATCGGCCAAACTGACTTGACCGACGACCCCTTGCTGACACTTGCATCCATCATCCCCATCGTCGAGTCTACCATGGACGGCACATCCGGTGCCCTCTACGCCATCTTCCTCAACGCGCTTGCCCGTGCACTCCGCTCTCTGCCCTCGGGCGATCTGACGCCTTCCTCGTGGGCCGAGGCCCTCCAGCAATCTTGCGATGCGCTGTCCAAGTATACGCCTGCTCGGCCCGGTGACAGAACCCTCGTGGACGCACTGTACCCGTTTATTCAGGTCCTCGGCAAGACGAGGGACGTAAAGAAGGCGGCGGAGGCGGCGAAGAAGGCGGCCGACGAGACGAGGGGCATGCAGGCCAGCTTGGGGAGAGCCGTATACGTAGGCGGCAAGGGATTCGAGCAGGTTCCTGATCCGGGGGCCTTTGGGCTGGCTTGTTTCTTTGGCGGGCTGGCTGGAGGGGGTGATGAAGAGTGGGAAAGGGTTTGACGATCAGATTGTACTTTGTGCTGCGGGAGGGATGATGCTCCGAGCGACGGAGTGCGATATCGTGCCCCCTTTGGGCGGTGATGCGCTGCTTTGAGGAATGTCTCGATGAAGAAGAGAGTGGGCTACCCGTCTTCCTCGGATTCGATCATGTGCCGAGTCCAGTGAGGCCGTCCATTCTCTTGTGCGGAAAGCATGGCGAGGCGAGGCGCAACTCTGCCGGGACCGAACATCTGCGACGGCACCATTTGCGTACTCCAGAGAACGGCGTTGCGGATCGATCAGGCACGAGACTTGAGTGAAAACGGACAGACAGGACAGACGTCTGGAGTGCTCAACGGCGAGCGAGACGTCAGTGCAACAGTCCTGTGATGAGCACCAGTGCACAGACATGTCAGATATGTCGGGGAAGAAACCTATCGATAGTATAGAAGTTGCGGCAACAAGCAAAAAGAGCGCAAAATGTTCCCTGTCTTGTGCCTGCGGGTGGTCCGCGTCACGACAGCAACCGAGTACGAATGAACTCGGACATGAGGTCAAAAACAAACATGAGCACAAGGTCAGCAGCAATGGTAAACTGTCCCCACGGACCTCCGACGCCTCTTTCCCGTCACGGTGTGCCAATTCTTCTTAAAACTTCAAATACAGATTTCAATCGTTTCTTGGCTCGATACATCGCCTTTTACACCTGCGGGCGGGCTCGAACCGATACATAGGGCAGGTTATATACCAGCATTCCTTACCGTAATATATAGCACAGCCTTGATCATAATGGGTCTATTTGTTTACCGTGCCGTCAGCAGCTTGCTTTCGCGCGGTGCCCCGACACGATTCATCTTCAATGCGCTCTGTTGTCTCGGCATCGTGACGGGGGGCGCAATTTTCGCCAGAGACCGTGGTCAGCCAGGCAAGCACTCATTTTGTTTTCGTGGAGGCTGTCATTTGTGCTCTTCCGCCTCCCCGTCTCGAGTACACTACAGCACACACACACATGTTACTGCGTCTGGGAGACTTCAATCAAGAGGAGCGACTGCTGGCGTTTATCGAATGCTGAAAATTTGCAACGGCCACGACTACTGGAACTCGGGTACTATCTTTTTTTCAAAAAGCATCACGTCGTCTCGTTTGTTCATGCGGCCGTCCCATGTATGTCTGGCAGCCGTCACACAACACATCTTGGGCATCACAGACGCCAGAAGACTCAGCTTTCTCCAGATGCGGTCACTGGCGGACGATACAGGGGCCAGCCAAGGCAACAGGGACAATGTGCCTCCATCGCGTACATGTGCGCAACTAGACTGTTTGCTCCAACGCCTATCGTTCATTCCCATGTAGCAAAAGGCCGCGGCCCGACCGGTCCCGTCATATCATCCGCAGCGGATCCCACATGCCCAAGGCCGCCGCCGCGTAGTGTCCATCACGACCGAGACAAAACCGTCCGGTACCGTGACCGTCGTTCCCTCCACCCAACCCCTTAGCTCAGCAGTACCAGGATGACGCTATCTCCTCGCAGAAACCTGAATGTCTGGGTCAGCTGGACGTGCTCCCCTCGGCCAGGGCATGCATTTCGACGTCGGGAGCGAGGCGTGCTCACATCTTGCTAATGAATCGATCCTTGTTCACTGGCCGCCCCTTCTTTCCGCCTGCTAATCGCGGCGTCTCCGTCCACATCTCCTTTACGTTCTCCAGAACCATGTTGCAGTGTCTGTCAAAGGCCTTGACGCGGGCAAGAAGCTTGCGGTTGTTGCGGATCGAGATGAGGACCTGGGTGTGCGACTTGACGGCGGTCTGGAGTATCGACAGGGGACCCGAGGTGAATTCGTGCTCTTCGAGCTCTGCGATTTCGTACTCGCTGCATTTGTGAACGGTTAGCCGACGCATGGGCGACCCTGGATACGCTGGTTGGAGGGTGACGGGGAGGGCGGGAGGAGAGGACGGCAAAATGGATAGATGCATACGTAAGCTCGTTGCGCGGCTTGTTCAGCAGCTCCCTACTAGAGCGTCAGCAAGGTCCATCGAGCAGTCGGAACTGAGTGCGCGAGGGGCGTACTGTATCTTGGGATCCGCCATCTCAAAGGTATTGTCGTGTGTTGCTGGATATGCTGCCTCCGGCACGAAGGTCGAAAAGTTGAAGAGACGTGAGCAAGCGGTCATTCTGATTGGCCGATGCCTCGCGCCGGTGGGGCAGCCGGCCAGACCGACTCCTGACTTCTGACTGGCCCTGGCAAAACTTGGGCTACGCTGTCGTTCGGGTGCCAGAGTACCCGGTGGCGGCTGCACAGCTGCGAATGCTAGCCTAGCCGGCAAGCGACGGCAGCCACTGCAGCCACTGCTCGGTCTACGGGGCCAACTACTCCGTACCCCGTCGGGTTGCCCTCGATGCTCTCGTCCGAGTTTTGTGACGCTTTTTAGCCTGGCCCATCTCGTCACTCGTCGCCCTCGGATCCGCACTACCGGCACAACCATCTTTGCCGCGGCAATCGATGCGCACTTATTATCGCAGGGGACCGTAGTTCCGCCCGTTTCACTCCATCTCAATGTCTTTCCGAGCAATTGCGGTGCGAGCGGGTTCGGCTGCCAATGCTGCGAGCAGTTGGTGCTTTAGACGGAATCTCAACATGGCGCACCAAGCGAGCGCAATGAGCTCCCGGAGCGCTCGACCCGTTTGTCCACCCTGGCCATTCGTCGGCACGGCCTCAAATTGACATGCTGCTAATCTGCTCCTCGAGGTAGCTTTCCGCCGAGGCCGCCACCATCAGGGAACTACCCGGCGACGAACCCGACGATGTCGTTTTCGAAAGCAAGTACGGTCTCCGCACCGTCATGCTCAACCGACCCAAGAAGCTCAATTCGCTCAACGCGTCCATGATTCGCAAGATTGTGCCCCGCCTGGTCGAGTGGGAAAAGAGCGACATGGCCAACATTGTGGTGATGAAGGGAGCCGGCGACAAGGCCCTCTGCGCCGGCGGTGACGTTGCCGCGCTGGCTGAATACAACCAGGAGAGCGGCGATGGGTGGAAAAAGTCGGCCGATTACTTTGGCCTCGAGTACAAACTGGATCACTACATTGCGACATATGGCAAGCCGTACATAGCCTTCATGGATGGCATCACCATGGGCGGCGGCGTCGGTCTCAGCATCCACGCGCCTTTCCGGATTGCAACCGAGAGGACGGTGTTTGCCATGCCCGAAACCACCATCGGTTTCTTCCCCGACGTCGGCGCCTCGTTCTTCCTGCCGAGAATGAATGGAGCTGTGGGCACCTATCTGGCCCTGACGAGCGAGCGATTGACCGGCCCAAACGTCTTTTACTCTGGCATCGCCACTCACTACCTTCACTCGACCAGCTTGCCCGATCTCGAGGCCCGCCTTGCGGAGCTGAGGTTCAGAGACGACGACCCCTTACCCAAAAGACTTGCCATCATCAACGACACCCTTGAGGAGTTTTGCACCGGCTTGCCTTACGACCAGCCCATGCAGCTGGGCGGCGCGGTCCGCCAGGCCGTGGACCGATGCTTCAGCAAGAGCAATGTCTCCGACGTCATCGCCGCCCTGAAGGCGGAGAAGGGAGAGACGAGGGACTGGGCCGAGAAGCAGCTGGCCACATTAAACAAGCGGTCGCCCACCGCAGTGCATGTGACTCTCAGGCAGATGCGAGTCGGTGGCAAGTGGGACATTGCCGAGACGTTCAACAAGGAGCATCAGATTGCCAGCAAATTCATGCGTCACCCCGACTTTACCGAGGGCGTGACGGCTCTGTTGGTCCGCAAGGAGAAGCCCCGGTGGCAGCCCGCGTCGCTCGAGGCCATCCCCGCCAGCGAGGACGTCTCGCGACCCTTTTTTGACTTGGACGAGAAGCAGTCTCTGGAGCTGTTCACGGACCGCACGTACTCTGAATATCCTCACCAGGGCCTCGGCGTGCCCACGGAGAAGGAGGTCAGGGCTGCCGTCAGCAGCGGCACCTACACACCCCAGGAGCTGGCCAGGGTCATGGTGGCATCGAGAAATGGGCGCCAGGGCATCGCGGACGTTGTCCACGAAATCCTCGGTCGCAAGACCACGCTCGACGCTCAGGGCAAAGTCAAGTGGGTGAGCGAGGATGCATCAGCGGGCAGCCGATTGTAGAAGGCAGTCGGAAAGTTGTGGGCATATTCTATGTAGAGGTAGAGGACATGAATGTCGAAGAGCGCGACAATCGACGGTCCGCCGTGTAAAAACATTGCATGATTATGTAAAGTACGCTATGGAGCACAGAAGGATGTTTTGAACGCGAAGCACTGGCGTCCATCGACTGAGCGGAAAACGTGGAGACGCAGGTGGTGGGCACGCCTGCGGAAAACATCACCGCGAGCGTCGACGAGTAAAAGTTCACGGAGCGGAATAACCTCCAGCTCACGGTGAACCTCGACCGGGGGAGCAATGCGTGGGTGGCGCGGGGGCGGCATGGAGAATGGCTTCACCATGCAAAGAGGAGGGCCCCAGGGGGAACGTTGAAGGCGAGAGGGCCAAAGCGGGGATGGATTGGATTGCGCGAGAAAGTGAAAAAGTCGTGGGTTTACGGGAACATGAAGCGTCTGAAGGGGGATGGATGGATGACGGCTTCATGGACGGGTCTGCGGCGGACGAGTATAAAAGGGATGGGGCGCCCGATTCGTGGCCGAGGGACGGGGCTCCAAGCGTGATCAACTCATCGGCATCCTCCCAGCAGCCTCCCAGCACCAGAGAGAGACCGGAGACCAGAGACCAGGAACCAGGAAATCTCGGCAATTCCTCCTTGTTGTGCAAGAAGCCAAGAATCCAATCCAAGGCGCGACATCGATCCAAGCAGGGCCCAAGAGCCAAGAGCCCAGGGGCCGGCGGTGCCTGCCACAAACCCACAAACTGCTCGGCAGGTGGGGCTTCCGCTCGGCGCTTCTCCGACGACGACAAGACTGGACTGGACGGGCCGTTTGACCGTTTGCTCGTCACGTGCTGCCGCGTCTAGCGCGTGTCGTCGGATAACGTTACATACCAGTTGACCGTCGCAGCCTCGAGCATTGAGCCGCCGAGACTGTACCAGAGAGTCCAGCACGCACAGGAATACCCGAGACAAGTCTGCACATCCGTTGCCGCTCTCGACAGAGCTGGCTGTCCTCTGTTCTTGGTCTTTGGAGCTTGGGCGACCGACGGCGGGCATTGCCTGTCCAGGGCTGGCTGGCGTGGGGTGGTGCGCTGTGGCACACGCGCGTCGCATTTGATCTCCCGTTGTTCTTTTCAGGTGCTTGGCCATTGGTTTGGTGCCTTTGGCCTGGCTGTTATTTTCTGCCCTCTGCCGTTCACATTCGTCGTCGGACATATTTCCTGCGGTCGCCTGTCGCGTAGCCAGCTGCCTGCACTGCATGCAGGTGGAGACGTGCTGCCAAAAAGTGGAAGCTTTGACCCGAGATCCACCCTCCCACGCTCTCACGCTCTCACGCTCTCACGCGCGTTCAGGTCACGACTCACGAACATGACACCCGCCTCCCCAATTTGATTAATTGTGCTGTCTTCACTCGCCCAACACACCTCCGCTCCGCATTCACACCTTCACATCTTCTTCGCTGTCGTACCCACCCCCTTTCTGTTTTCTTTTTTTCGGGGTGGTTTCTTGTTACGTGTCTCCTGCAAAATCCGCCTGCGGTAGCTTCCCATCGTGTGTATCAGCGCGTCGCAACAATCGACACGCCGTCGCGCGGGACAGCCTTGGCCATGGCATCGCCTGCTCCCATCGCCCCGACGGGGAGCGCCCCTTGGAACCGCCAGAATGTTCAGCAGCAGCAACACCAGTATCAACAGCAGCGTATGCCTGCTCAGACTCCCCAGGCTCCTCAGGCCGAAGCTGACGAGAATGGGGTTCAAACCAGAGCGATGGGCCGTACGTCGATTCCTTTGTCCCCCCGTGCCTGTCGTCGTCGCTAGCTAACATGACCCGTGTGTTCAGTCAAGGTCCATTATACCTTCGACGCCGAGGCCAAGGTCAATTGCTTGGCCAGATATCCCCAACCTCTCCAGGTTCAAACGGTCCCCATTGACGAGACGAATTCAATCGGCGTTGTCGACTTGAGATCATGTATCCACGCTGTAATGGATTGCAGCCCCGAGCTTGCTGGCCAGGAGAACGACTACACCATATATGCTGTCGACTTTTCAGAACCAGATTTTCCCTTGGTCGGACAGGGCTTGCTTTCATGGGCCCTCGAGGCAATGCAGAGTCAGTCGATGATGCAGCAGCCCAAGATGGTCACCGGACGCGTGGCCAAAAATCTGCCGGGCATTTTTGGAGGCGGCCATCGCGAAACGCTCGAGGTCAGGTTACGGCTCTCCGTCGCACCAAGATCGAACAAGCCAGCCCTTCACAGCGGCAATGGCGACATGCAACAACACACCAGACCGGTGGAGAGTGCCATGACTCCGACAGGTGCTTCGGAGTGGAATACTTTTATCCAGTCAAATCCCCAAATCGGTCAGATAAGTCACGTTTCAAGGGTTGTCTCGCCTGCGTTGTCACAGGGTCACGGCCACCCACATCAGCAGCCTCCCGTGATGAGCAGCCGAGAGTCCTTTGCGTCAGTGCCTGCTCAGCAGCCGCAGGTGCCCACACACGACGTTCACAGAATAGCTCCCATTCCGGTCGACCTCAGCGAGCAACTGGCAGACGGGGCTGCACCATCCTCAAGACCGTCCAGCAGGGCCTCCAACCGAGCCCCGAGAAGAAAACCACCTACTGGCCGCCCACGAGGCAGACCACGTAAGAAACCCGTCGAAGGAAATACGTCTGGTTACGAAGATGGCACAGAAGGGGAGGACGGCCCCGCCAAGAAGAGGGTCAAGACGACGCAGGTTGAAAGAACGGCACCAAATTTATTTGCAAATGGACCCGAGTCTCTAAGAGTCGCTGCCAGCACCTCTGGCTCGCTGCGCACATTTCGACCTATTGTGGCAAACACTGAGGGCCCTTCGGGCAGCGGCAGCAGCCATCTACAGGAAGTTCCTCGAGCCCCTACGCCGGTTCCAGATCGTTCTCTCCATGCTGGTCCGGGCAGAGGCCCTGGGCCAGTGAAGCTGAGACGAGAATCGGCTCTGAATCAGCAGCTGTTTTCAAACAACGCTTCGTCTGCGGAGTCTAGGCAACCCTTGTCACCCGGCCAAGAAGACGGCCGTTCGCCCGAGTCCATGGCGCCCACTCCCTCCTATTCGGTAGACAGCCCGGCAGATATTGGTTCATCGCCTCCCGTACAGCGAGCCACTCCGTTCCTTCGATCAAGCCTACCCCCCTCTAGTCCCGTTCTTCCGCCGATGCCGCCGACTGAGCTTAATCGCGACGCTAGCTTTGCTACTGACGACTTGGATGACCTCTTTGGCGATGAGGCCGATGCGCCGGCTCCCATGGCACCAACGAAAGCACTTGCTAGAGCTGTCCGGAAACCTACCGAGTCGAGGAATGCTAGTGGCGTGCCCATTCAAGTTTTCCAGATGCAGGATGGTCCGGCTGGACAGGATCTCGTTCACATTTGCAGCTACAATTCCCCTCAGCCGGCCCCAGCGGCAGCGGTAAAAGAAGGAGGCGACATGCAATCACTGCCATCCTTGAAGAAGGCGCCGATTCGGATAGCGGCGAAAAAGAAGACAAAGCCACCTTCTCCGCCAGGCATGGCTCCCACTCCTCCGCCAACGACTGACGCCGTTGAGAACGCAGCGACACCCCCGCTGACCGCCGAACAAGGAACGGAAGAGGCTGGCCAGCGGATCTGCAACCATGTCAACATTGCACCTGAGCCCGCCGCCGAGCAATTGCACCCCCAAAATACCCAGCAGGACATGGACAAGGAGGGAGAGCCCACGCAGGGGCCTGCCGCGGCAAAGGCGCCGAGGCAGTTGGGCCGATCTCAGTCTGCAGGGCCGTTGGCTCTGCCAACAATCCCAGCCGGTGAGCCCGCTGGACCATCCTCTCTCTCACGATGCATAGTTTCTGCGCCCAAGTTCCCAGCTCCACCGGCCCCTTCAGCATTGAAGAGAGCAGCCTCGACTGGTCCTCTCGCCCTTCCGGTCCCTGCCAGCGACCCGGTCGTGCCTATTGCTCTTCCCACAAGCATGGAAACCGTAACCGCTACATTTGCCAAGAGTGATGCTGTCCCAGCACCCTCATCCCCACCACTCGTTGCATCCAGGGCAAACAAGAACATTGTAAAGAAGCACGCCATCAAGCAACGGCTTGAAGAGGCCATCATGAATGGAGAGATGCCTCCCTATTGTAGCAACTGCGGGGCCATCGAGACGCCAACCTGGCGCAAGATCTGGGTTCAGGAAAACGACGGTGTTCCCGAGTACTGTGAGTACTCGGAGAAGCCTGGGAAAATAACGGCAATCGAGATTCTGCAGCGGGACGGGGACGGAAAACCTACCGTGCACCGCCTCGTCAAGAAGAGCTTGGGGCCTTCGGATGACAGAGCAAAGTGGCAAGAGCGGTTACTTTGTAACCCCTGTGGCATCTGGCTCACCAAGTGCAAAAGCCACCGTCCTCAAGACAGGTGGGACAAGGACCTCTCGCGGGTGGGACAAGAACGCAGAAAGCGAGGCACTGGTCGAAGCAAAAAGTCTCGTGGCAAGGATGACGGAGCGAATCCCACTTCGGAAGCTTATCTCCCGACTGATGCATTCGGCCCTGTCGAACCGTCTTCTCCGAAGCAGCCGCACCCCGACCTACCCAACGGTCGAAGTGTTCGGGATGTTGGCGTACGTGAAGAATCAGCGAGTCTCGACATGCAGGAATCGCAATCCAACCCTGGGTCGACTCACTCTGGGGGAAGTGGCACTGCAAAGAGTCCCGTGGATGTGGAATTTGACCAAGCAGTGGGCAGCACGAAGCGACTCTTGTTCCCCTCGCCACGAAAAGACGGAGCTCCAAAATCACTGGAGGAGATCAACGTTAATATTGTGCAGACTTCTGACGAGTGTCTGTCGAAAGGTTCTGGCACTGGTAAAGAAAACACGGCAAGCACGAGGCCGGATGAAGAGTCCAATGATGACGACGATGTTCAGGCAGTATCGAAGAAGCCCGCGGCAGTAGCTCGACCGTCGACGCCAACGCCAAGTTCGAAGGCCGGAACGCCCAAGGAGCCGCTCAAGACGCCTTCACGTCCCACGCCGAGCCACAGACCCATTACAAGAAGCATTTCTCGATCAATCCGGACCATCAGGTCAATTGCGTCGCCCGGTCAGGCTCTTGTCCAGGGGACGCCGACCAGGACGTCACGGTTACCGGAAAGCGGCCTTCCAAGACGCAGTCCTCGCAACCACCAGGGGGGATTCGAGGTGTTTGATACACCCATCAGCCGCACCATCAGCCAAATGTTCTCAGAGGGCAACGGCTTTGGGGCGGACGATCTTGATCTGAGCAGTCTTCCGGCGCTGGACGATAACGCCGGCAGCATGCTTGACTTTGGCAACCTCCTCAGCACAGATGCTGTGATGCCCAGCTCGCCGCCCAAGGATGGCTCCATGTTGTTTGATTATCACGCCTCGTCTAGTGCGTGGGCCCAATGGGACATGGACACCAGTTGAAGACGGAACATGATGGACCGAAATGGACTTGTGGGTCGCGTTTGACTCTCTTTTTTTTTGTTGTTGTTGTTTTGAAATCATTCTCTTGAGCGAAATATCGGACATGGAAGGATACCAGTGAGCGGCGCACGTTGCAGTCAGGATTGCAGTTGGGTTGTCTTTTGTTTCTCTGGATGAAATTTGGAGGCCAAGACGGCAGGTACGGACTACAGATGATAGAGCACCGCAGAATAGATGCTTAGGGGAACTAGCTAAACAAGCTCATGGCTTTGCTTGTGTGGAAAGTAATGTGGTGGCAAATATTCGTGTGTTGTAGGAGTAGACGGATCGAATCTGGGGTCTGTGCCACTTTACGCGGGAGCTGACACGCGTCGCGTCTCCCGAGCGACCCCACCATGCAGCATTCGAACATGCACATGTCTACGGAGTACCTTCAACTCCAAACGCAACATCACGTACCGGCGACCTGGGCACTGTCGAGAATCACCCCGTCACCGTAGATACCCGCCCAGAGCAGGCTGCTCACTGCCCGTCATGGCAGAGTCCGACATCCAAACCCGCTTCTCTCCCGACTCACCCCTCGAACCAGACGTCCTCTCCGAAATCCAGTCCATCCTGCGCCTGCACGACCTCTCCGTCGACGACCTCTTCTTCAAATGGGAGTCCTACTGCATAAAGATGGATCTGGACGCGCAGGCCGGCCTGTCGCTGTCCAGGATACGAAATTTGAAGCAGAGCATACAGGATGAGCTGGAGAGGGGCCATCGTGCCACGCAGGTGCGCAACGAGCGGAAGGTTGTGAATGCCACGCCCAAGGGGAATCCGGGCGGAGACGTGTTTGGCATGCTGGACGGGCTGGTGCCGAGCACGCCTGCGACGGGGAGGTTGAGCCGCGCCGGTGCCGCGGGAGGAAGCGGTGCCCTGAAGAAGAGGATGGACGGCCTGAGGGTGGGCAGTTCGCCGGTCGGCATGGGCGATCAGTTGAGGGCTCTGAAGGGGCTTCCGTATGTTTCTGTTGCTGCTTCTGCTGCTGCTGTTGTTGTTGTTGTTGCTGCTGCTGCTGCTGCTGCTGCTGCTGCTGTTGTTGTTGTTGTGACCTGCTTGGTTCTGTGCTAACGTTGACAACAGCGCCACTTCCTTTGCGGACCGCTTAAACGCAGGAGACGTCGTCGAGGTGCTAAACGGACATCTTCAACCGGCCGATGCACCGATTGCGCCGTTCGCCGAGCCGAGAATCAAACTGACTGCGGCGTCGGACCTGAAGAAGATGGCGTACAAGCCGTTGGCTATGAAGCTCTCCGAGGCAAGCGAGATCCTGGACGACCGCATCGACGAGTTCATCGCGGTGGTACAGGACCACCACGAGCTGGAGGACTCGGCGTTTGGAAGCGCCGCCAGCCAAAGCACCACCGAGGTCGTCGCCGTGGGCAGGATCGCCTCCGACTCGACCGAGGGCAGGCTCAACCCCGCGTCCCTCGTGCTGGAAACATCCCGTCGGACAGGAATGGGCCTCCGGGTGCCTCTGAAAATGGACAAGATCCGCGAATGGTGCTTCTTCCCGGGGCAGATTGTTGCCCTGCGCGGCCACAACGCCTCGGGCAACGAGTTTGTCGTCAACCAAATCCTCGACATACCTCTGCTCCCCAATGCTGCCTCAACGGCCTCTGCTCTCGAGGGCCACCGAGCAAAGCTCAAGGGCCACGCCGACGCCATGGACCCGGATGCTGATCCCGCACCGCTGACCATCATGTACGCGTCCGGCCCGTACACGGCAGACGACAGCCTCGACTACGAGCCGCTCCACGCACTCTGCTCCCGGGCGGCTGATTCCTACGCCGACGCGCTGGTCCTCACCGGGCCATTCCTCGACATTGACCATCCTCTCATCGCAACGGGCGACTTCGACCTGCCCGACGAAGCTGTCCCGGACCCGGACACGGCCACCCTGACCACCATGTTCAAGTATCTCTTCGCGCCGGCCCTCGCCCGCGCGTGCTCCGCGAACCCGCACCTCACCGTCATTCTCGTCCCCTCCGTGCGGGACGTCCTCGACAAGCACGTCTCCTGGCCGCAGGACGCGCTGCTCCGCAAGGAACTCGAGCTCCCCAAATCCGTCAAGATTGTGTGCAATCCCATGACGCTGTCCATGAACGAAATGGTCGTGGGCATCTCGTCGCAGGATGTTCTCTACGAGCTGAGGGGCGAGGAGCTGGCCAGGACGAGCGGCGACTTGATGGCCCGGCTGGTCCGCTACCTGGTCGAGCAGAGGCACTACTTTCCGCTGTTCCCGGCCGCGGAGAGGACGCGGCTACCCAAGACGGGGACGGAGAGTGGCCTCGCCACGGGCGCCGTCCTGGATGTCGGATACTTGAAGTTGGGAGAAATGGTGAATGTCAGGCCCGATGTCATGCTGGTCCCCAGCTCTCTGCCGCCTTTTGCAAAGGTATGTATTACTATTGCTATTACTATTACGACTGTCGTTATTATTATTAGTACCCATCCTTGTCATACGCTTCAAATTTGGTGCTTCAGATCAAGGGCAAAGCTGACGAGTTAGGTCGTCGAGAGCGTCTTGGCCATCAACCCTGGGCCGTTGTCGAAACGCAGAGGTGCAGGCACGTTTGCGAGAATGACGTTGTACCCGCCTGTTGTTGACGGGGACGAGATGCAGAGTCACAGGATATTCGATAGAGCGAGGGTAGAAATCGTTCGGATATAGGTATATGGGGAGATACGCAAGGGGGGGGGATGTAGGGTTGGGTAATTGTTATTTATTTATTTATTCGGCTCTTCGGGCGTCTGTCCACATGGGACAATTCTGAGCGGTATCATCACCTGTCGTCGACCCTCCGCCGCTTATCGCCGTCAAATGCACGCCCGGAGGTACTCCTCTTCCTCCGCATGTTGTCTTTCCTCGTCGGCGACCGTGACCGCGACCGTGACCTTGACCTTGGCCCATCCCGCGGCCTGTAATTGTCCCCCCTCCCGTCGTCTCTTCGCCGCTCCTTGTCGCCCAGCGGGATCGCATTGGCGCCCTTTGCGTCCCTCTCGTCCGGCTTGAACCGCTCGTCGTCGGGCCGGAACCTCCCATCGCCGCCCAACTTGCCGGCCCTCGAGTCGTGAAATTCGCCCCAGCGGCCGGTGTCCTCGGACCGCATGTCCCTGTACTTTGTGGCCCCCTTCTTGCCCAGCCTCGTCATGTCCCTCCGTTGCAGGTACTCCGGCAGGGCCTCTCTGTTCCGCACGTCATCTGCAATCCTGGTCCCCATGATGTCGCGCCGCAGGAGGCCCGCCGCCTCGGCCTCCTCCTGGAAGAAGGCCCCTTTGTGGTAGTACTTTTGCATAAACGACATCCTGCCCCTGCCCTCCTTTTCCTCGCGCTGCCTCGCGAGGTGGGCCTCGTCTTCGGCCCTGCGCTCCTCCTCTGTGAGGTTCCTCCGGCGCTCGACCTCGGCCAGCTCGCGCTCGCGCTCCTCGATGGCCAGCCTGGCGCGCTTGAGGCGCTTCAGCTCGCGCACGCGCCAGGCTGCTTCCTCGGCCGCCGGGTCGAGCCCATCCGCGGTGTCGACGTCCGAGTCGGGGTTCTCGTCGTCGTCCCAGTGTTTCTTGCCGGCCGCGCGCGCAGCCAGGTCCCTCTTTATCTGCTCCTCGACGAGCTCGTCGGCTGCCTTTTGCCTGGCGGCCTCGTCGGCGAGCCGGGCTGCCTGCGCTGACTGTTCCTCGTCGAGCGCTTCCTTTCCGCGTCGGCTCTTGGGCACGAATTTCGGCCGCATCATGAGCCTTCTGGGCGCTTCTTGCTCTTCCTCGCTGCTGCTGCTGCCGCCTTCCCCCTCGGACGAGCCGCTTTCTTCTTCTTCTTCTTCTTGCGACTCGTCATCCTGCTCGCCTTGGTCGTCTTCCGTGACGAAGCCTTGTTCCGCGGCTAGCCTCTCTGCCCGCTCGGCTTCCGCTCTGCGCCTTTCTTCTTCCTCCGCGGCTTCCTTCCGGCGCGCGTCGAGGTCTACCTTTGCGAGGCCGCTCGCTAGTTTGCCCGCGCTCCTTGCCTTGGGGGGTGGAGGGACGGCGGGCGCCTCGGCATCGCTGCCGTCCGACTCTGCTGATGACGATGCTGATTCTTGGCCGGCCGGTTTGCCGGCGCGCCACCGCGCCGGCCGCGCTGGGTTGGCCGTCATGCGCTTCGGCGGCGGCATTGCGTGGTTCGTGTAAGGGGCGACTCGTGCGGTGAGGGCGGATGACGCCGCTGGAGCCTGGGACGACGAAAACTGCACGGCGTGGAGTGGTTCAACGGTCAAGTATGCCGGCTACCCTGGACACGTGGACACATGGACACATGGACACATGGACACATGGGCCGAGCCTTGGTGTCGCGGGATCTGAAGCAGGAACTGGTACTCTGGTTGCGCTACTCCGTATTCTCTCGTGGATATGAGGTTGGCTTGCATTTATTTGGCAGGGGTCTTAGACGTAGATGCAGTTCTGGTGAAGAGTTGGTACGAATCAGGGAGTATGTTGGATATTGGCAGAAGTGGGAATCACGTAAGACGCAGCACAAGTAAGTAGCCTTGGGCGAGTGGTTCCCAGGCTGCCCTGACCAGACGCAGTGGCCGAGTTTGTATTATACCTCTTTTTTCCTTCCTTCTTTTTTTTTCATTTCAATCCCCCCTGGGTAGTCGTCCCGTCATTGCGTGGTCGCTGTAGGGTATGTTGCCCGCTGGGAAGAACAGCGCGCCGTGCACGTGCAGCACGTTGTGCCTCTGCGCGACGTGTCAAACGGTGGGCTCATGGCACAACGTCCCACGGTCCGGAAGACCAAGAATGATGGCAAAACGACGCCGGCATGGGACGGCAGACGCACCACCACATTGACATTGCTTGTTGAGTCATGGCTGTGGGAGCGAGTGTCGGCCAAGAAGGAAAGGGAGCACCTCGAGGGTGGCTCTTTCCATTGTCAGATACGGAGTACAGGTACCCAGGTACCTTGGCCCAGCACGTACATGAACGTTGTTGGGATGGCCAATATTCCTCCCATCCCCTGCACACGGCGCAAACCCCGCAACTCTGGTTTCACGACCGATACGGACGACGCCACGCAGATGCGGACACACGGGCTCCGACAAGGCATATCCAGACACGATGACATCAAATGGTCGGCGGACAGCATGTGTAACCGGCGCAACCGGCCTGCTTGGCCGCGAGATCATGGCTGCGTTTCGCCAGAGCCCCGCGTGGCGTGTTAAAGGCACAGCATGTTCGCGAGCTGACGGCGTTGAAATCGTCAAAGTTGACCTCGAGAACGAAGATTCGAATGAGCTCAACGTTCTCCTCGACCAAGTAAAGTATGCATCTTGCCACTCTCAACTTCCTCCCCACATGCTCAGAGTATACTCGTCCGGTGCTGACACTTAATTTTCTCCTTTCACGACAGACCTCACGTCATTGTCCATGGTAAGAAAAGGAGGACAATCCACCAATTTGTCATCCTCGTATTGATGGTGGACTAGCTGCTGCACAGAGGTTCCCGGACCGGGTTGACAAAGACCCCGAGGGAGCCAGGGCCCTTAATATCGACGCCAGCAGACGACTTGCCCGTGTAGCACTGTCCAGGGGTATCCTGCTCATATATATCTCTACAGATTATGTCTTTCCTGGCATACCGGGAGATGCCCCTTACGAAGCTGACGCAACGCCACAGCCAACAAACTTGTATGGGCAGACAAAGTTCGATGGAGAACGGGCAATTCTAGACGAGGCCGCAAAAGCTGGAAAACCTGGTGCGGCGATAGTACTACGCGTCCCGGTTCTCTACGGTCACGCTGAAACACCTGCCGAGAGCGCTGTCAATGTCTTGATGGAGTCTGTATGTGAAGGTGCCAGGATTAAAATGGACCACTGGGCCGTTCGGTATCCTACCAACACCGCGGACGTCGGCCGTGTATGTCGAGGTATGTTTCATCCGAATACACGTAGCGTCATTCCTTTCTCCCCATGACACGTAGGGGTTGATATGATGTATAACCTTCTTCCACCGAGACATCAGAGTTGGAACGCATATCTATGAAGACCGGCTAAAGGGTTCCTAGATGTAGCAGCCAAGTATCTCGATGCCGGTGAGTCTGGCCATGGCAGGTCACTACCATCGATCCTACAATTCTCTAGTGAGGACAAAATGACAAAATACGAGATTTGTCAGTTATTTGGACAGATCATGGGGCTGGATACCTCAAACATCGAGGCAAACACCCAAGGCAATGATCCGAACGCTACTGTGCAGAGGCCTTATGATTGTCATCTCAGCACAAAGCTGCTCCAGGAGTTGGGCATCGACGTTTCCACGTGCAACTTTGCGGATTGGTGGCGTCGAGAGGTTCGAGCGTTCAGCAAGTAGTATCAAAGAAGTATTTGCCTGCCCAAGGTTGTACCGTGAGGCCATGATTGCTGGTATTTGGACGCGTGCTGGCTGGCATGTAACTAGCGCGCTTTGCTGATGTATCTGAGCCCTGATTTCTCAACACATGCTTTTATTCTCTCTCGCGCGGGACGCCCCACCATTTTGGTTGAATGTCCCGGGGAGTCGGAGAGGTGAGGGTGGGAATGGTATGGACGGGACAGTGGAAAAGGACGCCCTCCTCTGGTAAGTTGACACTGATCTCGTCATCAACCGCAGAGCTCATGTTGGGTAATTCCACTGCGAACCCTTTTCCGTGTCACCGCATCACCAACCCGCTACTTGAAAGCGTTGGGAGTGTTACCTAGCGACAGCATCGGAAGCAATGGTTGCCACGTAGTACGGAGCAGTCATGTTGTCGTTGTTGTTGTTGTGTGACTGTGTCGTGGGTTAAATTTGGCCTGACTGGATATGGGATGTACGACATCTTCCAGTGGCGCAGAGGGGAGAAGGTGTCGCATTCATCATGTCACCATGTCAGGCCCCGTAGGACGGCGTCGGCGTTTATCAAGGGATGCCATGGTTAAATTCCGCCGGCTAGTGGATACTCGTCGTCCAAAGAAGGCCACGGTCCACGGATGTCAGACTTCTTATGCGATACAGTTTAGCATCCTCGTCGAGAGTACTACGTAGCAGCAGGTACGTGAAACATTGAATGCCAAATGTCTGGTGGTGTTGGGTGCCGTGATGGGTTGGTTGGCATGGCGGTTGGGCAGCCACGCGGGTAGCAGAAAACCCGAACACGCTGACGGAGGTTGGGGAAAAAAAAAAAAAGAGAGGAAGAGAGAGAATGAGAGAGAGACACAGAGAGATCAAGCATGTCTTGGGGTTTCTGCCACCCGTTGGGCGGGCAAGGCAAAAGCGGTCAGCAAGCGGGCTGGACATGGAGGTTGCAGATTGCAGATTGCAGATTGCAGATTGCAGATTGCAGATTGCAGACTGCAGATGGCAGACTGCAGACCCGAGGCTCGAGTCTGGATTTGGAGTCGTATGCTCGGAATCGAGCGAACAGGACGTTCATCCCGACCCTTCCATCGAGGATGGAGTAAATTGGACCCTGAGACATGCAGCGAAGCCAAGACAGAGTCATGGAATGTCGGCGTCACACGCGGTCTGGGAAGAGACAACACCACACTCGGTACTCCGTCCACGACGCGTGTCGGGGCGCGGAACGGCACGCAGCACACATAATCATGGATACCCACGCATGCATCGGATGGAGAGGCGGCCTGCGAAAAAGAATCTGTATCACGGCTGGATGCTAGGCGCCGCGGTGAAAAGCAAAACATGGCGGCAGTGACAGATTTGACGCTGCCGGAGCTGTGAAGACCTCAGACAAGAGCCAGAGACGAGAGACGGGAGAGGAAAGGGCAGGGACGATCACGGTCGACGACTGAGCAATATTTGTACAATGGCATGTTTCCCCAGGTTCCGCTCAACACGCAAAATACCGCTCGCCCAACGTCGCGAAAGCGTGATTGACTTTCCATTCCTCCAGTTTCTGTCTTCCTCTCCTCTCTCTCCCCTTTCTTTGCGACCACTACTTGTTTCTCGTCCTTGCATCGGTCGTGGAGCTCTGAAATCTCTCTGCTCTCGTGCTTCGCAGCATCTCGTCTGGGGAGCACCTTGACGGGCACCATCACACTCGTTCTCTGTTTCCTTTTCATGAATTCATTCATGCATTCAACTTGATTAATTCATCCGTCGATTCCTCGGCCCTCTGCTGCCCTGCCGCCATTGAGTCGCTCATTGGCTCCTTTTTGTTCGGAATACGAGCAAACTTGGCTCACCGGGCGTCACTTACACGGCAACCTTGGTGCGTGTCTCGCCGCTTGTGCATGTTGTACAGTCAATTAAACCAGGCCAGATCGTCGTTGTCGTCGTCGTACGAAAGGCCTTGACGACAGGGCATCAACTGTGTGTGACACCTCGCCTTTGTGCCCAGCGACGTCGCCATCGACTCGACGACGATAACCCGAACTGTATAAAAAAGGCTTGTGAGGCAGGCGCATGTGTAGGGTCCAAGTGAGGGGATCCGGTTCCTTGAACCCCAAAAAGATACTCTACGTATAGGGAGAGTTGAGAATGGCCCACGACGCCATGGGCATGCAGCTTGGTCCGATCGAGGCCGTTCCTGTGCCGCCGACTCAGACGTACTCGCGCTACCGCAGCCTGCGCGGCAAGAGCGTGTCGTCGCCGCGGGATTTCGGTGTATTCCAGGACGACGCCGTGCCCCCGAGCGATTCAAATTACTCGGGCCTCGGACAAAGCAACAGCCTGAACTCTCTTAGGGGTCGTTCCAAGAGCGTTTCAACCCACGACAATGCGACAGCAGGCTCCAAGGAACCCCTGCCCCTGCCCGCCATGCCGCCGGCGCCAGGAGGCATCCTGAGCCCAAGGTCCATCAATATTTCCGCCCCTTCTGGCCGCAAGATACTGGAAAACATCAAGTCTCCCATTTTCAGCGCGGGCCTTGGGCCTTGGAAGCCGTTTTCCAAGATCAGCAAGTCGGCCAATAAGGACGCGGGTGGTGGCAGTGGCACCGACGGCGGCGACTGCAAGGCGGCGGCGGGTCCTCGAGCCCAGAAGCAAGCCGAGCCCGACCATCAGCAGGAGGGCAAGGAAAGCCAAGAGGCCTCTGGCCGAGAGGGGGACGAAGGCCATCGCGACGGCCAATCCAGCGACAGCCGAGGAGACCTGGCACGGCAGCAAAAGCTCGAGCGCCCAGGCGAGCCTGCCGTCGAGGACGCGCCCAACGAGGCCGGCCACGATACACGCGGGCGCGCTTCCGACGTTCAACGACGGCAACAAGGCGACAGGGACACCGACAACCAGGCAAATCACTTGGTAGACGAGGTCGCGCGCCTCGAAGCTGAGACGGACCGAATCCTTGCTGAACAAAGGAAGTTGGACGTTGCACGACTTCAAGCGCATCAACTTGTCACACCTCCGCCAAAACCCAAGCGCCAACTCCTCGACAAGCTCATCTTCTTCTCGCGAAGTAAACGATCTGCGGGCGGAAGCCAGCCTGCGACACCCAGCACCGTTGTGTCGGCCATCTTCTCCTCACCAGCCACCAGCCATTCCAGCCGTGACGACAGCATTGCTACTGAGGAACCAGCAGCAACGCCTGGCCTGCCCGCCCCCAAGATGGGTTTTATTGAGCCGGGAGGCAAGGGCATCGTCCCGCAGACGGATGCGCCCGTGTCTGCCAGCAACGGTGGAGAGCGAGTAAGTCCCAATGTTCCGCCCTTCTCTGGTCGCTTGCGCGTTTGCCTGTTCCGTATTCCTACCTAAGTTACCATCATACGCGTGGCGACGACTTTTGGTCTGTGCGAACGGCGATCCTCGCTAATCGTGCTTGACTTTTTAGCGTATAACTGTGCGATGCTTGTCAACCACAGTCAGTTTGCCCGTGACAGCAGATACCTCCCCTGTTGATATCCTCAAGGCCACGGCGGACAGGACAACACACGACATTAGTCCAGCAACATGCGTCATCATGGAGTGCTACTCTGCCCTGGGCCTCGAGCGTCGCCTCCGTCGCTACGAGCGCGTCCGCGATGTCATGAACTCTTGGGACCGGGACCAGCAGCACTCGCTGCTCGTCGTGAAATGCGAATCCCCAAACAGCGATAGGGACCTCGACTTGGAAGCCGTCCCTCGCACCGAGCAGCCCCCACAAGGCTTTTCCATGCAAATGCATTACTCGTCCAAACCCGGCAAATGGATCCAGCGCTGGGTGACGCTTCTCGAAAACGGACAGATCTACGCCGCAAAGTCGCCCAATGCCAAGGCCACGGACAAGGACAGCACCGTCCTGTGCCACATGACCGACTTTGATATTTACTCCCCCAAGGAAAGCCAGACGCGCCGTGCTCTCCGGCCGCCGCACAAATTTTGCTATGCAATCAAGAGTCAGCAAAAGACGGTCGTGTTTGCCAACGCCGACAACTTTGTTCACTACTTCTCGACCGACGATGCGCGGCAGGCAGGTCGCTTTTCCGAAAAGGTGCACGCCTGGCGAAGCTGGTACCTGGTCAATCGAATCGTCGACCCCCAGAAGAAGCGAGTTCCTCAAATCGAAAGTCCCAACAGGAGCTTCAAGTGTGGCAATTCCAGCGCGCGGGCTTCTACTATTTCGTCCAAGGGGGATGACGAGCCCTTGATGAATGTCAACGCATTCCGCATGAGTCAGATTGTCATCACGCCCGAGGAGACGAGCACGGGCCGGTCTGCCTCTGTCAAGTCGAAACCTTCTCTTCATTCCTCTGGACCTGTGAGGAAGAATGGCCCTGCCGGCGTCGAGCTTTCCAACAAGGCTGAACCAGAGTTCGCTGCAGGCGGTTTGCTCGGCAGCGCCTATGACAAGCTCAAGCAAAGCGATGCTGCCTCTGCAACGTCCGGGGCAGCCTCAGATGGGCCGTTTACCGAAGCCCCGTCTCTTCTGAACGGCGGTATTTCCAACTCATCGTCGGATGCCTCTGACAAGCTCAAGAAGCAAGCCCGGGCCGAAAGGAAGAAGGTTGAAGTTGCGTCTTGGTTCCCCTCGGCGGCGGAGCACTCGGCTCGTATTCGCAGTCAATCCTTGCACGCACAGTCGTCGCCGTACCAGCAGCGGAGACCTATTGCTGCCGACATCAGGCCAATGGTGCCAATTATCCGTCGCTCAGAGAAGCACCCGGCGCCTTTGCTCAGCTTCTCAAAGGACTATCCCGAGCCTCCGCGATTCCGCGAAGGGCCAACCAGTGTCAGGCAACTTCCTGGCCAGCCGCTGATCAGCTACGCTACGGGGGGCTCGCCCCGGGAGGCTCGTGATGGTGCTCCCCGAAACCGAGTGTCTCGTCGGGGATTGCCTGCCTCAAACGGCATTGGTTTTACCGGCCCACCGTCGCCTTCGCCTCAGCTTCCTTCTCTGCCGCCAGGATCTCTTGGCCGTAGCAAAACGTCCTCTTCTTCAACGAAACGATTCGGGCCTGTGGATACTCATCCTCATCACCCCATGCCTGCTGCGTCTGGCCGACGACGCCCACACGGGGAGCCGCTGGTGAACCGGGCAAAGTGAGCACGTTGTCTGCGAGAACTGATGAGCATACAAAGCGTCTCGTTACCGGGCATGTGTTAAGGGACTTGTTGCAGCAGGCGTTATGGAGGGATTGTCGCTGGGGCTTATTCGATCTGTCAAATATGGAACACATGGAAATATTGGTCTATTCAGATACCTTTTGTGCAAAGAGCTGGAGGGATGGCGGGAGGAGCGGCAGGGTGAGTGGAACTCTGCAACGAAAACTGGTTTTGAAAACAGCCAGGGAGGGAGGCAATGGGTAAGAGACTGACTTGTCTGCTTGTATTCATCCAGGTCTCCTTGGGTCGTGTTTTGGGTCCTGTGGGAAGTTTTTAGTTTTTGAACCGTGTTTATACGAATCCATTTTTACAGTCGTAATTGCGATTGCAGTGCTGTTCCTCAGGAGAAGAGAAGAGAACCAGCACTACCGCTGGCGAATAACCCGCATAGCTTGGTGACGCCGATTCGAGCAAGGCTGCTCAAGGCACAAGGTCCGTCCGTCCGATATGGCTTGCTCCTGTGGTTGACTGACGGGACGCATCCCTTCTCGAGCGTACAGTAAGAAATACAGTGCGAAAACTGTACCCTCGCACAACCCGGCGGAACCCGTCATTTAACGTTACGCGTCAACCATCACAGCATCACAATCACATCACAGTCCACCACAGTCGGCAGACGCGCTCCGGCGACACAAGGCGCAGACAGATCGAGAACCACCGAACACGGAATTCGAGCACGGGGACGCCAAAGTCGCAGAACTCGCGCCCGAGTGCCCGGTTGGAGATAGCGACACTTGTACCATCCAGGCGCTTTGGATGCCGTCACCCGCTCCGATTTCGATTCAAATTCCGGTTCCCGCCTGGACGGCCTCCCTCGCCAGCAATGGCGCTTGGTGCGCAAGAAACCTCGCAGCTGCGGAGTGCTCTCCAAGACGCCACGGTAAAGTGCTCCGAGAGATGTCTCTACCAGTCGGCGAAATGGTTTGTCGATTCCACAACGACCCTCGGTTGACGCGGCACGAGCACCACTAACGACGCGGCTTTTCCTTGCCCTGCCAGGGCTGCCGAACTTCTCAATGCGCTCCCCGAAACTGCAGACGCAGACGACGACGACGGCGGCGCCCCCGCGGATGGGTTGAGTGGCACTTCGCCGATATACACACCGAACCCAGACCCCGAGGAAGCTGCCCTCGAGGCCAAGGAGCTGAGCAAGTACCTGCTGGCCAAGTCGCTCTTCGACTGCAAGGAGTTTGACCGATGCGCCGCCGTTTTCCTGCCAGAGTCTTTGATATCGTCCGTCCTGTCATCGCGCCCCGACGCCACCGTGCCGACGGCGTCGCGGCGGTCAAAGGGCAAGGCCAAGGCCGCAGAGGGGAGCCGGGCGACGTCGGGTGCAGCCCCGTTGCCGAGGCTGAGCCAGAAGAGCCTGTTCCTTGCGCTGTATGCCAAGCTCATATCGGGGGAGAAGCGCAGGAACGAAGAGTCCGAGATGGTTATGGGCCCCCAGGACCTGGGGACGGTGGTGAACAAGCAGCTCTTGGTGGTGGGGAGGTACTTGGCCGCCTGGTTCAAGGAGAGGACGACGGCGGACGAGGACGCGTCGGGGAGTCAGGGGTGGCTGGAGTATCTGTGAGTCTCGGAAAGGAAAGGAGCTGGCCGAGTCGCCGTACGTGGTGAGCGACGTGTGCGCGGATTGCTAATCGCCGTGTGTGCAGATACGGCATGGTTCTCGCCAAGGAGAAGAATGACGCCCAGGCCATGGATTACTTCATCCGGAGCGTACACAAGTATCCCATGAACTGGGGCTGCTGGCTAGAAATGACGTCCATCATATCGAGGGTTGAGGAAGTACTTTTTGACGCCCTGCCCCTTGGGATCCGGCCCATGCGCACGGCGTGATGCTAACAGTTTCCAAACCTGCAGCTCAATCAGATAGCACGACACTGCCCTCAAAACATAGTATCCTTCATGTTCCACCTCTACACATCCCTCGAGCTGTACCAGCAGACACCCAACCTCGCCAACTCGCTCGAACAGCTGCTGTCGATATTCCCGACGTCCTCGTTCCTCCTCACCTGCAACGCCCTGCTGGCATATCACGCCAAGGACCTCATGGCGGCCGAACACCACTTCAGCCGGCTGCTCTCGCTGCACCCCCACAGACTCGACTCCCTGGACCACTACTCCAACATCCTCTACGTCCTCAACATGCGCCCGAAGCTGGCGTTTGTGGCGCACCTCTGCTCGAGCGTCGACAAGTTCCGCCCCGAGTCGTGCGTCGTCATCGGCAACTACTACTCCCTCCTGTCCATGCACGAAAAGGCAGTCCAGTACTTTAGAAGAGCGCTGACGCTCGACCGCTCGTGCCTGTCCGCCTGGACGCTCATGGGCCACGAGTACGTGGAGCTCAAGAACACCCACGCGGCCATCGAGTCGTACCGCCGCGCCGTCGACGTCAACCGCCGCGACTACCGCGCCTGGTACGGCCTCGGCCAGACGTACGAGATGCTCGAGATGCACACCTACTCGCTCTGGTACTACAAGAAGGCGGCCGGCCTGCGGCCCTGGGACGGCAAGATGTGGATGGCGGTGGGCTCGTGCCTCCAAAAGATGGGCCGCGAGCGCGACGGCATCAAGGCGCTGAAGCGGGCGCTCCTCGCGGACGCCTACTACGACGTGGGTAGCAGCTTCGGCAGTGGCGGCGACCTCGTCGGCGCCCGCGGCGCGACGGGGCACATGGACCCCGAGATCCTGCTCCAGATCGCCGCCATGCACGACCAGCTCGGCGAGGAGGACGAGGCCAAGGCCTACATGGAGCTCTGCGTGGCCCAGGAGGAGGGCGGGGCCGCCGCCGACGCCAACAATCTCGGCGAGTCCTCCGTCGTGATCCACTCCGACTCGCCCGCCTCGGAGGACTACGCCGACCGGGAAGACGCGCCCGCCGCGTCGGCCGGCGCGGACGGTGGCGCCGAGGGGACCGGCGTGACCGCCGCTACGAGCAAGGCGCGCATGTGGCTCGTCAAGTTTGCCATGCGCACGTCCGACTACACGACTGCCAATAGGCTTGCCACGGAGCTATGTCAGGACGGCGTCGAGGTCGAGGAGGCAAAGGCGCTCGTGAGGGAGATTAGGTCCCGAATGGAGGCCTCGGGCATGTTTGGCTCGGACGGTTAGCGCGCGGGCGCGGTACGGTAACCATACACGCAGAGGCTGACGATGGGTCACGTGGATGCGGACGACTCTCGTGATGCGAACAACCGAGTTGTGGCCGAGTCCAGGCCATGCATGCATGGCCAAGCCGAACATGAGGATCCGCGACTCTTCGCTTCGGTTCATCTGGGCGACTTGCCGGATGGGGGGTCTGATTTATCATATTGGCCGTCAGTGACGACGATTCACGCCCGACTTGCACGGTGCTGGGACGGCGCTGTCTCACAAGTAGATAGATAATAAATCACTAAATACCCAACAAGTTTTTTTTCTTTTTCATTTTCTCCCCCTTCAAAGAACCAAAAAAAAAAAAGTCAAGCACCAACCATACTTCAAGTCAACAAGGCAAACTGGATAGACGGCCGCGTCTCAGACCCCCCCTGCCCCTCCTGCTGCCCGTGTCTCACCTCCGAGAGATGGGGCGATGAGTACAGTTGCCGCCGCCCTCCAGTAATTAGAGAAGAGTTATTACCAAAAGACAAGTACATGAAAATTCGACACAAAAGACATGTTGTTGGAAGAGACAGCCGCGAGCAAACATCAGACCCCTTGCCCATCCGTCCCCGAGATGGAATGCAATGGATGTTTACGGCCACTGTATTTCCGTGACTTCCCAAGACTCATGCTTTAGGCTTGGCTAAAGATGGGAGAGAAAGACACAGACTCGGAGCGAGCGTGAGAGGGGCTCAGAGCAACATGGCGGCGAAACCAGCAGCAACGAGAGCTCCCACACCCACATTGGCCTTGCCGGCACCGGCAGTGATGACTTCGGCCTGGGTGGTTCTGGCCGGCGGCGTAACGTGGGTTTGGTTGTGGGGAGGCGGGGGAATAACGTGAGTCTTGGTTTGGGGAGGAGGAGGAGGAATAACGTGAGTCTTGGTCTCCGGGGGGGGAGGAGGAATAACGTGAGTCTTGGTTTGAGGAGGAGGAGGAGGAATGACCTTGGTCTTGGTCTTAGGCGGATGGACGATGGACTGGGTAATGGTGCAAGGGCAGTTGTTGATGGTGAGAGTGGTGGGAGTAGTGACAGTCAACGTCTCGGCATTGATGGTGAGGGTCGTGGGCGCCTACATCAAGCCGTGTTAGCCAATGCTGTCCAAGGCGCGCCTTGTTGCTCGCTCGTGGGACAAGATGGTCTGGCTCGTCACGGAGTGACACTTACCGGGCAGAAGGTGGTGAAGGCCGTGGAAATGACTGTGGTGACCTCGGTCTTGGGCTCCTTGGTCTTGGTGGAATGAATCGTCTTGGTCTCCGTGGTCTTGCGCTCCGTGGTCTTGTGCACCGTGGTCGTCTGCTGCTCAGTGGTCCAGGTCTTGTGATGCGTCTTCCGGGTCGTGAGCTGCGAAGTCTGATGGTGCGTGACGGTGCTGGTAGGCGGCGGCTGGCTGGAGTGATGTGTCTTGCTGGAGTGAGGCCAGCTGGTTTGGTAAGTCGGGCTAGAATGCCGAGACCGGCTGGTTTCATACGGATGGCTGGTTTCGTACGGATGGCTGGTCTCGTACGGATGGCTGGACCATTGGTTCCAGCTGCTATCTTGCGATCTGCTGGTTTCGCGAGACCAGCTGGAGGGCTGAGGCTTGGCCGCCCACGAGTCCGCAGCGCCCGGGACGGCCTTGTTGGCGTCCTCCTGCCCATCAGCGGTGCTGCCGGCGGCCAAGGAGGCGATGGTCAAGACCTGGGTAAACTTCATTTTTTTTCCTGTTTTTCTCTTGCAACGTAGATGATAGCTGGTTGGTGTAAGCGAGAGTCGATGAAGTTGGTTGGGCCTGTGCAGGTAAAAAAAAAAAGAAGCTGCTGAGAACGAGCGAGATTATCGTGATGTTTGCACCTGTGCAGAAGCCTAAGGAGGATCATTTCAGCATAGCCCGGACGGAGCCCTTGTTTTATATGCGCTCCCAGTCCCCAAGAAAGAGTCCAAGTCTCCAAATCCAGCTTTCGTCGCCATCTTCTTCAAGGCAAACCCGCTTTCAGAGGAGCTTGGAAGTGGGAGGTTGTGTGAGACACTGTCTAGGCTATTTCCGACCAGATGGCGCCGGCAACAGCTCGCCGGAAATGGACCAAGTTTCTCGGGAGCAGTGAGACATGACGACAAAGTATCCGAAGCTGTCGTTTCACAAGCTTCTAGACGCATATTTCAAGGACAGCGGTACCTGCGCTTCAGGTACCTCGAGTCAAGCTTCGCAAAGATGCTGGGGGAATCTGACGGCTATCCTCTAAGCTTTCAACGCCCAATACGAGCCGCTTACGATGCGGGCCAGCCTACTTTGCTGTAATAATTGCGTAAAGATGTCGCAGGTGTAGACGAAACAGGACTGAACCGTGGCTCAAGACAGCCGGTGCGGTGAAAACGATGTAGATGGTGCAAAACCTTAAGCCGGGTGAGGATGACGACTGTTAGGAAACGATGCACCCATATTCTGGCACCACGAAACCGCACACCGGCTATCGTTGTCGGGAGGAGCCTTGAAAGCCCATTATCAAAGCTTCGTTCCACGCAAAGGGAAGGATCTCGACTGGGGGGGGGGGCGCACATCTATCAGCTTCCCGAACCCCTGAAATACCCCAGGGCTTTGCATAGCGTAAGGGACAGAAACCCAGACCCATCAGATGTTCTTGAGATTAGCGGATCCACGCACTGCTGCTCGTAAGGCCGGATTTCCAAATTTGACAAATGTCAGATGATGTTATCAACAGCTCGCTCAGCAGCCAACCGTCCGGCCATGGGGGGGGGATTTCTCTCTCTAGCCCATCGGACCGAGACTGGCGGCGATCATGATGAATGGGAAGCTGTCCTGAGCTTGTAGCGCACCTCCCGCAACTGCTTTGCGGAACCATGTCAACAATGAATGCGGGAGGTTGTGTATCGCCATCAACCGGTTTGGTTTCCGGCCACGGATCTGGAAAATCTCCCGACATCTGCTTGACGGATGCTCCCGGAGGATATATATCCGAAAAAAACTAAACTTCCTGGCTAGTTGACATGTCCCTTTTTGGCGTCTGATGTTCAATGTTGAGACTGGAATGCTGGATTACAGTTAGCCGCTAGTCCAAATGCGACAGAACGAAGGCCGGCGAGATGGGAAACATTGCATTCAAGCAGTTCGGTACTGAAAATCCACGCCTGTTGTGGCCGTGATATGGAGAAGCTGGAATCACTCGTGGCTACTTGTCGCACATGTCTGACCCATCTTCAAGTTGGTGCTGGCCGAACTCACCACGCAGATCCGACTCGACGTGGCATGTGAGACAGACGAGACGTCAATCGTCATGGCGAGATAGAACCTCGTAGCGATGACGCGAGGAAAGAAGGTAGAAAGCAGTGCAAAAGAATCGCGGTTTCCGCAGTCGGGTGGACCGTTTGCGAGGCAACATTACGAGCGAGCAAACACGACGGACGATCATCGTTGGATCAACAGTGTAGATGGACAGTACAAATCGCAACCTACACAGTATGGGACACCCGGGTGGACTCGTGCACAACAAGGGAGCTGTCTCTCCCTCCTGTGACGCGGAAGCGGACGAGAGCCGACCAGATGGGAACCAAATTGTACACGACTGATACGACGCCGACGACCGCAGATGGCAGATCTGTAAACGACCGCTTCTTGCTAGTTTCTCAGCGAACACTTTGAAGTCCCTCCTGTTACTGAAACGCGCGTTCTGGTCACGCTTTGGTGCGGCTCTGCTCTTTGTTTCATTTTCTGTGCGGGCAGGATTTGGACTTTGATCACAGATCACTTTTCTTTCCTCTTGAAACCATTCTACCTTGACGATCACCTCGTTTTCACACACACACACACACACACACACACACACACACACACACACACGGGCGACTGATGAATAGACTGGCGCGCCATCTGTTTGAAGAAGAGCACCGACGCTATCCGAGCACGACAGAATCTTCGCATCTTCCGGGTGAAACATGGCAAAGTGACATGAACCTTGATTGAATTCAGAAATGCCCAACTCGCTCTGCCATTTACGGGTGGTGGAAGAAGTGGTCCCAGTTTGGGTTTGGTCGTGTTTGTTGGTGTCGCTCCGCGTGCCACCACGTACATGCTTGGCTGCAAGTGTCGTCGGATCGGTGGTGATTGAGGCCTGGGGATCGAGGCACCCACAGCGCCAAAGGCCTCTCCCCCACTAGCTTTTATTTGTCACACGATGGTGGGGGCACTGAAGCTAGATATCACGTAGATGATACTGACAAGCCTTGATCGAGCTGTAAAAGAGAGGATTATATACGCTCTATAAAAAGGGGCGCTTAGGTCTATGCTTTGTGTGTGCATTATCCTAATCCTATGCGCGTACGGAGTACGTGGCCAAATACCCTAGTGGGTATGCCGTGCCGTGCGACATTAGTTATTGCCTCAGGCTCCGCTCTGGCTGGACATTACATTTTCACGCGCATCAAGTACTCGAGTAGTTACTTGGCGGTCACTGATCACTGATGATGAGCCGCTGATGGGCGCGAGCAGTGCTGTCCTGCACGCTGTTGGGCGCTAGACTCATTACGGAGTCCGCACAGCTCCAAGGACTTGGCCCCCCAGGCAACACTGCAAGTCTGCACCTGCGGCTATGCGCGAATTTCCTTCTCTTCACTTCTTGTTTTCCCATTCCCGTTGACTCTTGTGACTTGTTCCGTCCCTCTGCCTGTTGGATGCTTCAGCTGGCGATGGATCCTCACCCGCCGTCCTGCCAGCTTGACCGCCGAAAACATCCGTTGCGTCTTTTTCTGCGCGCAGACTGCCTCATCCCCCC